TCAGAGCATTTCACGAGCTGTGGGGCCTACCTCGGGGTGTGCCTACGGGGCCTCCTCAGGAGGTGAGGAGAATGTGTCAAAGATGATGTGTTCACAGCACAGTGGGGCCCAGGGAGCCACTGCATGCTCAGTCCTTTCTAGCCGTGCCTTGGCCTGAACGCTGCCCAGTGGGCCAGAACGGCTGGTGCCTGAGTGACTGGGACCCCAGGCCAGCTGGTGCCTCCAATGCGCCTCACACTTCCCTTGGCCCAGAGAAAGCACATCCTGGCTGGGCAGGAGCAGTGTGGGCACTTTGGCCTTCACTTGTTCAACACGAAGAGAACGTTAGTCCAGGCAGCCCATCAGAATATTCAAGGGTCCCAGCCTGTCCAAGTCCTGGACGCCTCCCTGAGAGCAGCAAAGGCGTCCACAGATCTGGGAAGCAGAACCAACCACCCTGACTGGAGGCTCCAAGTTGACAGGCCTTTCTCTTCCCACGCCCTGCTCAAAGACAGCCGACAAGGCACAAGCCAAGGTGCAGCGTGGGGCTGTGGCCAGCATGTGTGAGCAGAGGCAAGGCACCAGCCTATTGAAACAAGTGTCTCAGCTCCTAAAATAAGCAGAAGCTTCTAAAGGGTATTCAGTGTGGTGGGAGGAGCTGGAGGGCAGGGTTCTGCTTCTGCTCAGCAGGTACACACCGCCCCACGCACTCACCACTCGGGGCCTCCTCAGCATGGCTCCCACATGGAGCAGGAAGGCCTGGCTGAGCCTCCCACAGGAAGCAGGCGCCCTGCACAGGTCTTCAAGTGAATACGAAAGTGGACATGCGTCCATTGGCAGAGCAGCCTCAGTGCAAAGCCCCGCCATGCCCAGGCCCCAGAATGAGAGGAGCCTGCAACAGGCTTTGGGAAACTGGAGTCAGACCCATTTCTAGCAGCTGGACCCCACAACGGGCCAGAACCAGCCAGGACTCAAGATGACATTTTTCTGGTCAGGAAGCATGTTTGGGGAAGTATCTCCATTTATCTTGAGACAAAGCGCCTCCCAGGGCTCCCTGTTACAACCAAAGATGGTGATAGTCACAAACCAGGGCCCCACCCGCACACCCCAGGACAAGACCCCCACAGACACCTGAAGCTTCAGTGGGGCTTGGTCCTCAGCCTCGGGCTGCACATGCAGGGGCTTCCAGTCCCCCCAGTCGCCTGCCTCCAGTCCAGCTCAGCATGCCGGGTTCTCCGAAGGAGCCCACGCCAGCACCTCAGTCCCTCTGCTTTCTGATGGCTTTCTGTGGCCCAGCACCAGTCCTTCCTGCCCTCGTCCTCTCCTTGGGCTTCTCACACCTGCCTCTGAGGCCTTCTGTGCCCATGGTCCCCTCCCACCCCCCAGGCACCTGTGAAGAAATGTTGAATCCAGAATCTGACAGGTCACATCAGCTGGGCCCATGGTGGGCCCGGGTGTTGCCAGGGAAACACCCCATCTGGCCGTCTGCTAACGGCCTGTCTGGTCTTTTTCTTTTTCGGTTCTTCCAGTGAGAAGCGCCACCTTCAAGTCAACGTCACCAACCCTGTACAGTGCAGCCTGCACGGGAAGAAATGCACCGTCTCCGTGGAGACGAAACTGAACCAGCCAGAGCCTGACTTCACCAAGAACCGCTCGGGCTTCATCCTCAGCGTGCCCGGGAACTGAGCCGCGCCCGCGAGGCCTCGCCGGGAGCCAGAGGGCCGCGGAGCTGGAGCGCTGGCCCAGGTCAGGCTCAGCATCGCTGGTTCCACTAATTGCTGCATCCCTGCTACCGCCCACTAGAAAGCAGCTCGAGGGCCGTGCTGGGGGAGGAGCCCCTCTCTTCCTTCCATGAGGCCCCTTTCCCTCCCTGAGGGTTTCTTCTCACTTTTTGCCTTTGGTCTCCATCTTCCTCTGTCCTGACTTTTCAAGGTCCCCACTCAGCAAACCAAAGACCCCGTGCTCTGCCCCCGACCCCTGGGCTGACCTCCAGCCCACAGCTCACCTCGGGCACCTGGACGGCACCTTCCGTCAGGGAGGCCTCCTCCAACAGCCAGCTCAAGTCAGCGCGCCTCGACCCGGGGAGCAGCTGCCCGTCCTGCAAAGGATGGGGCGGGGGAGCCCGGGACACAGTTCACCCAACCAAAGATGTGCTTCCTAGGGTGGGGGCAGGGGCGGGGAGGGTTAGTAGAGATGAGCTGGGGATGTGGCTCTGAGTCCAGCCAACAGCCCCTTCCCCCCAGACTTGACCCCACCCCCACTTGCGACTCTGGAGCTTCTTTGAGCTCCTTGTGGGTCACCTTCCCCCTACCAGCCAAAGCCAGCAGGTGAGCAGGTTCACCTGTCAGGCCAGCCCCTCAACCCAAAACCAGTGGCCAGCAGAACAGCCACACCCAACCAGCAGTGCACCCCTGACAGAGCCTGCCCCGCTTGGGCCTCAGCCACCTCTGGGGGACACACGCAAGGACGCTCCAAGGACCGTCTTTCTTAACGGCGCAGCCGGTGCCCGTGGTGGTCTTACGCTTAGCTGTGCAGTTTGCAGGGGCGCCACTCAGATACCGTGTCTGCTGTGTCCACACTAGTACAGGGACACTAATAAGAAAATGGAGTTGCAGAGGTGAGGGGAGCACTCAGGGTTTTGGAAGTTTTCCCCTTCTAACACCTCGATTCATACTCACCTGGAGAACTAGGACTGCAGAGGCAAGGGGGGCACATAGGAATTTGGGGAAGCGGAGTGATAGAAAACCGAGCTCAGGGGTCCTGGCACTGCAGGCCAGGCCAGGACGCCCCCACCATAGGGCCCCAGGCTGCCAAGCACACAGACCTCATGCCAGGAGGGAACTGCTGTCTTGCCAGTTTCTGCCCAGCACAAAGCACATGTGCTTCAGGTGCCTTCCTGAGACCACCCTCTTGACCCTGGTGCCAGGAAGAGCCTTAAGAGAAGAAGAGACTCAGACCACTCCATGTGGTGGGGAGCTGAGGGGGAGCCCACGTCTCAGGAGCCTGGCAGGGTGTAAAAGAGGCAGGCACATAAGTTTTCTTCACTTTCTGCCACAGATGCTTCCACCCCCAACCCCCACCCTCCCATCCTGCTACCCTGACCTGCGGAACACACCAAGTGCCTGAACACAACTCCTGAGCCTCGCTCAGGGCCTGACCTGGTCGCCAGGCTGACCCCCAGGTGGACCCAGCAGGCTGGTCTCATGCTCACCCCTCACCCCTGCTTCCCAGGCCTTGCAGACATTTGCACCGTGGCAGTTTGCAACAGCGAATCACACTGGCATTCTACCCTTGGAAACCCATGCTCACTTCCAAAGCCGGGTGAACTGCCCGCGAGGCCCACAGGTGCCACCCGCCCCATGTAGCGACGCTCACAGTCTCGCCAATAGACGCTAGTTGGACCGTCTAACTGGAACATCACCTATCCTTTCCACTTACCTCCCCAGACTTGTTGCTTTATGCTAGACACATGCAAAAGTATGTTTAGACACCAAAACAGAACATGCCAAATGAGTGCCTTTCAGAGATGGGGGATGCTGTGGGCCCTCAGCCCCAGCACCAGGGCCTGCCAGCCGCAGGGCAGGGGGTCGGCTGTCAATAGCACTTGTCACAATGTCCTAAAAGAAGTCACAGAGTGTGGCGACTGAAGAAGGACCAGAAACTGAGGGTGTGATCACGGTAATGCTTCCAGGGTGCCGAGGGGAAAGCCGGAGGACACAGTGATTGTATGCAATGAAGTGTTTCTCTTGATTTAATTAAATGTAGTTTTATGGTTTGGTGCATATATTCCTATTTTCCATTAAATTAACTTTATTTCTAAAGCATATTTTGATTTACCATTCAGAGCAATAAAGCATTAAATCTTATTTTGAAAGGTGTTCTGCTTATCTGTAATGCAAACCGCACCTCTAATTGTGAGATGTTAGCTTGTAGAAGTCAACTGTTCCCAGAGCCTGGGCGCACACACTGTAAACTGGAAGATCATTTTCATGAGGCTTTTGAACAAAAATATTAAATGCTGATGCAGAAGCAAGCTGTGGGAAGGAAGATGAAGGGGAAAGGCAGTGCAGTTAAACCCAAACACTTTCTTCCACCATTTTGAGGCCTGCGCGCTGAATGGAGCAGCGCGTGGCTTTCATGTTTCCTGAAATCAAAGCGTGTATTTATAAAGACAGACGCGGGTCTGTGGCTGCAGCCTGGGGAGAGGTCTGAGCGAACAACGGCGGGCCAATCAGCCTCTCCCCAAGCTGGCTGGTTGGGGGGGCCGAAGGGGGGGGGGGCAGGAGAATGAGCAAGTGAAAGGAATCTGGATGGCAGGGTGGGGTGGGGGCTGCGCAAGAGGCAGGCAGGGCACCCCAGCACTCGGCCTGGCAGCCACGGGGTGCCATTGCTCACCAGTCAGTGAGGGGAGAGTGTGAGTGGCCCCGATGACAAGGCTGCGTTGCCCTGGTGCTCACAGAGCTGGAGCAATCACCATCCTAATGCCCGCAGGCAGCCCCGCACCACCCTGAGGCTCCAGCTAGCGGCAAGAGTAGGCACAGACCAGTGCCACCCACATGTCACGACTAGGGCCACAGCGGCTGCTGCCCTGAGAGCCCCCAGGACTAGACTTTCTCTCTTCTGGAAATCTGCGCAGAGCCAAGTGGCAGGGTTGGGGCGCATGGGCAAAGTCCACCCCTGCTGGCCTAGGAGCCTTGGGGCAGTGAGCGCTGAGCAGAGCCAGGCCCAGGACGCCTGGGGGAAGTAGCCTGAGAGCCAAGCCTCCACGCACAGGCCTACTCCACGCACTGCGGGACCTACTGTGCCCGGGCCTTGCTAGGCCGTCTGGGCCTGCAGTGCCAGGCTGCACCCATCCAAAGGCGCCTTTGGGGAGCAACTCCAGCCCCTGCCCAGCAGCTACACCAAGAGTTGACTTCACCTGTGCTTCTGCCTGAACCGCCTCGGTGTTATGAAAGCTTGACGCCCTCTCCCCCGCCCAGCCTCCTCCTCACTCCCAGCTCCCTTCCCCTCCCCCACGGCACGGATCCAATTATGCTCTGAGTGCAGGAATCATTTATAAAAGGGGCTCCCGGCTTGTTCCTGAATGACGTGCCCACAAAAAGAGGTCCATGTAATGGATGGTCAGTGCATTTTATTTAATCAGCACAGTACAAAAATAAATAAAAATAGGGAAAGGGAATTAAATTACAGCCAAACTGAGCTTCATGACCTTGTCAGATTATAAACCACACATACCTACAAACGCACTACACATACATACAAAATGAGACAGATATAAATTAATATTAACAATACCCACAATTTGGTCAAAGAATAGCTACAGAAGAAATTGCACTAAAAAACCAACATACACCGCACATGTGTAATTAGCAGTTTCAAATATACAGCTATGAATAATTCTGAGTGAAAAAAATGGCACATTTTCTTTTCATTGCAAGTTTAACAACTGTTGGAACAAAACTAAGTTCTAGTAACTGCATGGAAAGAATATATCAACCCTTCAGGTTTACAAGAAAAAGAGAAAAACCAAATCCTGAACTATATTCCTGTGACATGTTCTGTGCACGGGTGTAATTTTCACAGCCATCTGTTCTAAGATTATTTTTCTTAAGACACAAAATGCTCCTGGTTTGCATGCACAATATCACTGTAAAAGCAACAATTAAAGAATAAAGGGGTTTTTTTTGTAGGTTAGTTTTTTTTTTTTAATTGTTCTAGAAGTAGTCTTCATAGCAGCATGTCAAATGGGTTCATTGCTTGCACACTCATGGATATCAGTTGTTCCTTTACACAATACTGATGGCCAGTGCGAGGGGAGGGCGGAGATGCCACAGGCTTCACACTGAGGGGACTAAAGAGTTGCGTCCTTAGTTCCTGACCACTCCTGAAATCTGCACCTCCTCCAACAAATAAAAAAATAAATATGGATAGAGAAGGAAACACACAAAAGTGGAATCCTGTGGATGCAACTTAACCGCACGGTTTCAGGCCGAGTTCAGCCAGCCCAACGTGTGACCACAGACACGCGCCCTCCTCTGAGACGGCACCCGCACCTCCCTCTTCCACACCGAGGGGTCTGCTGCCCCCACGGCCTCCTACCTCAAGTCACATGTGGCGGCTGAGGTGACAAGCTTTGTGATAACCGCAGCCGAGAAGAGGCGCCGAGTAAGGTCTGTGCCAGCGGCCGTCGCTTCCTTCCAGGTCCTCGGGAGACTATCGGCCAGGCCCGGCCCCGGCTCCCGCGCCTCGCCCCAGGCCCAGCTGGGGCCAATGCTCTCCAGCAAACGGCAGGGCCTCTTCCCCTTATCTGGGAACAGCTGGGCCTCTCAAGCCGGAACCTCCATTTCACAGCTTTCTTTTTTATGTGAGTTTCAGTAGTGCTTGTGCTGAAATTGGTGGCCTCCTAGACCCTAATCCCGTGTAAAAGGACCCTCGGCCGCCCGCCCAGGCTCCCACACCAGCAAGCACCGGGGACTGGGACTGGAAGAGAGAATTCTCTGGAGCTTCTTCACATTGGTCTTTGTTCCCCAAAACCGAAGCTATGGGCCAGAGAGTAAGACTCATTCCCTTCTCCTGGTCTTCTCCCAAGGCCCAAGCCACCAATCTGGTAGAAGCAGAAAGAAAATGGATTAAGTATACATCAGTCACAAGGGTGAGGTGGAAACCCAAACCAGCAGCTGCAAATGATCAGTTGTAGCATCAGGCTTCCAGAGCAAGCAGGAGTTCCACTCCTGTCTTGTAATTGTCTTCAAAGATCCAGCTGTCTCCCTGGGCCTCGCGGGGCGAGGGGCAAGGCTTGGGCAAGGCTTCGTCTTCAGAAGAAACTCAACTGTTTGAAAACAGCTTTAAATGAGCAGGGGTGGGGGCGGGGGTACATCGTGACCACATCACCCTGCTCCCTGACGTCACCGCCCCCCTCCCCCGGCTCTGCAGGACAAATGTCATGTGCACCATCAAGAGCCTTGGCGCCGAGGTGGGCCCCCGCTCAGTCTCGGACGTGGCACCCTCCACCCGCCCAGAGGCAGGCTGTTGATAAAGGGCACCTGCAGCTGTTCTGGCCTTCCCCACGGGGTGACTAAGCTGCATTATTCAAATGACAAAATTCACCCAGGAAAGGAGCTGTCCCTGGCTTCACCCCACTCCTTCAGCTGAGACTCAAAATGAAAGAACTTAGTGAGTCAAACCAGCTCATGAACCTACACTTCCAACACAGCTGGTACGCGAGGGGCCAGGGGCCAGGGGGCGTGCTCCACCTCTCCGCTAAAGGAAAGCCCTTCTCCCTAGAAAAGAAAAAAGAGCAAACCAGGGTCGCGCATGGTCAAAGGACAGGACAGTCTTCGCACCAGCCCAGCTTCTCCTCCGCTGAAGAGGTTGTCCGAGGGCAGCGGCCATCTTGTCTGACAACCCCACGAGCAGCTCGGTCAGGGTGGCCGGCTCCAGGGCCCTCTGGGACAGCGGGCGACCCCAAAACGAGAGCCAGGAAAGGGTCTCCAACCAGAAACACCGATTCTTCCCCGGGTCAACAGACCAGAGGCCCCTCTCCAGCCCCCAAACAGACAGCGCCGGCAGCCTTGCCCGCCCTGGGTCCAGCAAGGGCACAGGTGGCAGGGGCAGGTCGGTCCTTGAACTCCCCAGAGTGAGAGGCCGCTGGCCAGGAGGGCTCTGCACACATCTTCTGGGTTTTGCGCAAGGTTCAGGTGGGAGTTCAAAAGTGCCCAGAATTCTTGGCAGGGCTAAAGAAAATCCCCAGAAGAGAAGGTGGGAAGGGAGAGGCCCTTGGCGGCTCTGCTAGACACATACTGTACACAAAATCTGATTGGTTTAATAATAAATTTTTAAAAAAATGAATGGAATCCTTGAGCCGCGGCGCAGGCTACAGGGCTCACCGATCCAGCCCTAGGAGGAGCCGTTTCTTGTCCTCCTGGCCACTCTCGTTCTTCAGGTCGGAGAACACCTGTGTGAAGTAGTGTGGGTCGGCGTTGATCTGCAGCATCTTGGAGCTCATGAGGTTGATGACGGAGAGGCAGCGGTCCCAAAAGGCCTCCTTGCAGCTCTCCACCAGGAAGGGCTTGAGCGGGTAGGAGATCTCGTTGCCCATGTAGGAGTAGGAGAGGTACAGGCAGGTGAGCAGGACCGCCTGGAGCTCGTGGTCCGAGCCCACCTCGGAGGAGATGACATCCCTGCAGAGCATGTAGAGGAAGACCACGTTGGCCGGCGTGATGAAGCCCTGGTCCTGCCAGCCCTGCAGCAGCAGAGAGCGGTCCACGCTGCGCAGCCAGAGCACAGGGTCCGTGGGGGACAGGTGCTTCAGGCGGTAGCACCGGCGGCAGAGAAACTCGCCCAGGCAGCGCAGCAGCTCACTGGTGGACGCCTGGACGATGACCCGCTTGGGCGTCCCCGCGGAGGTGACGGCGGGGTGCGGGACCTTCTTGACGGAGGAGGAGACCCCGGTCTGGGAGCCCGACAGCTGGCTGGCAGGGGGCGCGGGCGGCTGGGCCGGTGGGGGCTGGGCGAACGTGGACAGGTTGGCGCACGACAGCGACTTCTTCAGGTTCTCATTGTTGAGGTGCGTGATGTTGTTCTGATAGCTGCTGTTGGGCTGCACCTTCTTGGAATTCTTCTTCTTGGCCGACACGGCCACGATCCGCTTCCAGGGCAGCACGGAGATGATGGAGTGCCGCTTCAGGTTCTTGTCCTTGGCGTTCTTGCTGTTCTGCACGGCCGTGTAGTGGCCCACCGTGGCCGCGCCATCCTCAAACAGCGTGGCCTTGCGGTAGCTGGGGGACAGGGACAGCACCGTGCCCATGGTGCCGCTGCGCGCGCGGCGGGGGCCCGCGCCCCTGCGCGCCCAGCCTGCCGGCCGGAGCGGGAGGGCGGCTCACCGAGCCCGCGGCGGCCGGGGAGGCGGCGGGGCGCTCCGGGCACGCGTGCTGCCCCTTCGGATCTGCGTGGAAAACAAGATGGTTCTCAGCGCCAGGCGGGGCTCCGCGCCGCGCTCCTCCGCCCCGGCCTCCGCGGCCCCGGCCTCGGCCCCGCGCCCCGGCCGTGCCGGCTCCGCGGCCCCGCCCGCGCCCCCGCGCCGCAGCACCCCGCCCCGCCGCCGCACCCCGGGACCCCCGCCGCGCCCCCGGCCCGGCTCCCCGGGGGCCGCGAGGCGCAGGCTTACCCGCAGGCGGCGGCTCCCGCGCCCCGCGCCCTCCGCAATGCGCGCGCGGCTCAGCCCCGCGGTCCCGGCGCTCGGCGGGGCTCGCGCCTGGCGGCGGCGGCGGCTCCGGAGCTTCTGTCCAAGGTTCTGCAGGCGCCGGCCCCGCCCCCTACGGCCGCCCGCGCCGCCGCCGCGCTCGCGCTCCCGCCCCCCGCGCTCCTCGGCGAAGCCCCCGTCGGGGGCGCGCGCGCCCGGCCGCGGCCCGAGCGGCCCTGCCGTCCCCGGGGAGCCGGGCCTCGCCGCGCTCGGGGCGGCAGCGGAGCGGCGCGGGCGGGGACCAGCCGCGAGCCCCAGGCGCCTCTACGCGTCGCGCCCCATCTGGGCCCGGCCCGGCGGCCGCGGCGGGTACTCGCAGCGCCGGCCCCGCCCCGCCCCTCGGGGCCGCCCCTCCCGCTCGGCGCCCGCCCTGCGCCCTGCGCCGCCGCGCCCGCAGCCGCCGCCGCGGGAGAGTCCCGGACGCCCAGCGCCGCCGAGCTCGGGCCCGCGGGGCGCGGGGGGCGGGGCCGGCGCCGGGCCCGCCCCGCCCCGCCCAGACACGTGCGGCCTTTGTTCCGCCGCGGCCCCGCCCCGGCCGCCCCCGAAGCCGCTCGCGGAGCCCGGGGCCCGACCCGTCGCCCTTCGTGGACGCCCGCGCCCCCGCGGAAAGAAGCGAAGGACCTGCGGGAAGAGGGCCCCGCGGCCCGGGGAGCGGGAAGAAGGCGAGGGACGCGGCCTTTGCTGAAGCCCCCCGAGGGCCACGCGCGCCTTCCGCCCCGACCCGGCCTCCGTCCCGCGAGCCGGGCCTGCCCGCGGCCCGGGGGGTCTCAGAAACCCAGGCCAGAGCGGAGGCGGTTCTGGGCCATGCCACAGCGACTGGTTGCGCACCCCACACCTGGGACGGGGCCCCGAGGACCCGGGCACGGCTGCTGCCCACGAGATGGGGCCAACACTGAGTCCACTGCACATGTGACCCTGCGGAGAGCCTCTCCCAGAGTGTAACAAGCGGCGGCCCTTCCCGCCAGCCTCTGCTCTTCTGACTTGCATGTTTTTCATACTAAACGTGTAATTTGACGACTTGGTGCCAATAAAATAAAATTCTGAGTAAAAGTCTGGTTCTTATTAATAAGAACTGTTCCTCTCACAGATGAGAGAATTCAGATCCTTCACAAAACCCGGTTTCATTATTTTGTTTGGTTCCTGGAGATTCGGATTTGACCGCAAACCTGAGAAACAAGAGACAATCCAGATGATCACCTGGGGACTGGGGATGAAAAAGAAGCAATTCAGAGGCCACCCGCTCCCAAACTCCCAGACCTCTCCAGCACACTAGGCTGTCAACCTGTGCCGCTCTGTCTTACTGCCCTGAGCAGAACAGAAAATCTGGTATCACTCAGAACAATGCTCTATCAAAGGAGAAAGTGCTAGAATTTGTTTGTACTACCCAGAGATTTCTCTGTCAATAGTGGCAATTGAAAGCTTTAGGGACCTTGGTGTTAATATAGTAGAAAATACAATGCTTTGTACCCAGCGGGCTACTTCTTCCACAGCCCTTCAGAAACATCTACAGCAGCTGTCAACTTAGAAGCTGAAGGCAGACCCTTACTTAGTTCAACGTATCCTTCCGGCTGAATGTTCCTCAGTGTTCCCAGCCTATCCACTCTTCTAACAGCGCTGGCCTCAATCCTCCTCTAGTAAGATCCTAAGAAGCCATGGCCCACAGGTCCCCTGGCCCAGTGACTCTTCCGAAAGCAAAGCTTTAACTCCAGCCTTTCTCCCCCAGTCCCTAATGGAGGCCCAGCTCCCCAGCTGCCCCATGCCCACATTCCTTTCTTATGCATCAAAGTTCCTTTCAGATTCTGGTGTTGAGCAAGTCAAATGCTTTCCAGATTTGCCTAGATCTGAAGTCATGTTCGCAGCAAAACAGCAGGTGACACTACCAGCCCACCTGCTGTTGTGACCGACAGAAGGGGGTGTCCAAAAACCCTATCCACCCATGCCATGCCATCTCTGTCTCAAGACACCACACATAGCTCCTCTACCCCCCTAACCCACCACCACCCTCACACTTTCCATCATCACTCCAACCGGAAGGCAAGGAAGAAAGGGCAATAATCTGCCAGAAATGACAGAATCAAGGACCCAGAAGGCACACCCAGCTGACTGATGCAGAGCTGTTTTCTTTCCAGTCTTCAGCAGAGAATGGCAGGGGAGATCTCCAAATCCCACCCCTATCAATCAGCCCATTTACCCTATGGCCTATCTTTTAGTTGCAGGAAGGGCCAACATGCTAGTCACAGTTACCGTGCTGCTGCTGATACTCGCAGTCAAGTCCCCATCCTCTGCCATACCCTCAACACAGGGAGCCAAGGCCCCAGCTAGCTAGCTGCCAGAAAGGATTCCCAATAAAAGCAGGCTGAGCCCTGGCTCCTGTGAAAGTCATGCTTTGTTCTTTCAGGGATCACAGAGCAACATCTAGTGGCCCTCCTGGGCAGCACAGGTTATATAATTCAGCAAGCAGCAGAGCAACCAAGCCAAGTGCCCCAGCCTCTGCTCCCAACACCAGCAAGTATCTTTCACACACACACAAGAGCACCCTGGCACCATGAAGGCTGGTGCCAGGAAGGGTCCCTAAACGAGGCAGCCCAGGCCCAAACCAACCTGTGGACTTTCCAGCTCAGCAAGGCCTAGACTCAGTTGGAGGTCTAGGGCAGCACTGTCCAAAAAATGAGAAAAACGCAAGCCGCATGGGTAATATTTGCTAGTAGCCAGTCAAGTAAAAACAGGTAAATACATAAATTTTAATATAATTTACCAATTATGCTCGATATCCAACCCATACTTTTACAGTAAGGTAAGCTAAATTTTTTTTTTCATACTGAGTCGTCAAAGTCAAGTTTCAGTTGACATTCACAGTGCATCCCAGTTCAAACTAACCACATTTCAAGGGCTCAACAGTCATCTGTGGCTGGTGACGACATACTGGACAGCGCGGGTCTAGAGGAAGCCAACAGGCCCACAAAGGGAGCAAAGGAAAAGGGCGCTGCGCAGCTGAGCTCCTCTGGACTGCCCGTGGCTGCAGAAACCTCTCCCCTCTACTTCAACCCTCCATCCCTTTGGAATAATTTTTATGGGAAGTAAAACGTTCTGCAAGTAAAACTACATGCAGAAACGGCACAAGAGAACAGCAGAAATGAACAGACTGAAGCGTAGCTGGTAGCTACAACTCCCTCTTTCCTCCCGGGAGCACCAACACCCTTCAGAAGAACCATTCCCGTCTGAGAGCCAGCATGAAAATCTTTGATTCTGTTCCAGACTGAACAGGCACTTGCATTTCCCCGACTTGAGAAAAGCTCCGTGCCGCACTTACCCACCAAGCACCAGCCTCCTCACGCAGCCGGGGGCGTGGGCTCAGAGGCGCTCAACCCAAACCCTGGGTCCTCCCGGACCACTGGGGAAGAGAGGCCTGACGCCCTTTCCACTTCAGACCTCACAAGCCATCTCTTGCCCCAGCCCTCTACTTTCCTCCAGATGTGTCTCCCATTAAGCAAATGAGATGGAGCTTTGCCAGTGTAGAGGGCTACGCAGGCTCTGGACCTGGTCAGCAGCCCTACAGCACACAAGAAAGGACACTTTTTGAAAAAAAAATTGTTTTTATTGGAACTCATCTGAACATCAGATATACCTGGTGTTGGTTAGCAAGAACCGTTTGTACATTTGATATTGATGGTGCCAAAACCAAAACAGTGACTGGACATGATGGGGAGAGATGCTGAGAACAAAAACCTGATTTTGGAGAGGAAAATAAAAGCCAGTCAGATTCACTGAGGATGCAAAACCTAGTACAACAAAATCCTTTTACAAAATATAAATTTATTACGAAAACCTGGAAGGATACTCTGAGAAAGGGGGGAAAGGTGAAAGGAGGCCAGCAGGAAGGGAGAAGGAAGAGAGAAGACAAAGAGATGAGAGGAAGAAGAAAACAGAGTTGCGCACGACAGAGGTGCAGAAGCTTACCTGCCCAAATGGCACGAAAGCCTTGCTATGTAATCTCATCATAAAACAAAGCATGCTGAAATACAGTGCTCTACCTCCCATCCCTTCCATTTCTAAGAGGTAAATAAAGATGCTCCCTGGGAGGGGGACATGAGGTTGCTCGAAAACCCAACAACGGGGGAGAAGGGGAAAAAAAAACCACCCCACAGTCCCACAGTCTCATTTCCGATGCTCACTGTTTAAAAAAGGAGGAAGTCCATCTGACAGCAGGGGAGGAGGAGAGGGACAGGGAGAGAAGCTGGATTTCAGGCAGCCTGACCCCCCTGGAGGGAGGAAGGAGAAAGAAGAGACAAGTAATGGTCTCCTGGTTGAGAGAGGGGAGAGAGAAGGGAGAGAGAAGAGAGCAGAGGAGAGGGGCAATTAAAACACTGACGTCTAACCTAGTTTACTGTGTTAAAAAGAGCCACATGCACAGCAGGCCCCCTGAGGGCCCACACTGCTCCCGTGTGGCCGTGTGGACACTAGCTCCTGGCCTCGTCCCCATTCCTTCACAGGTCGGAGCGGAGCCGGCAGGTGCTGCTGCTGCTGCGGCTGCGGCGGCGGCGTCGGCAGGACCTTCGGCCAGTCTGCTGGAGCCATTGTTGGGGGGAAGGGCGGATGGACAGGCCGTATGGCAGGGGAAAGAACACCGAAACGTCTCATTTCAAATAAAAAAAGAAAATAGCAGTCTATACACAGTTGTTTGTTTTGGTTCAGTACAAACAGAATAAAAAGTCGTTGCTTTGATGGTCAGGCAAACACCCAATTCTGAAGTGGAGGAGAGGTGACGCCCAGCAGGTGGATCAGGAGCCCCAGTGGTAGGCGGAGCGCCTGGCTTTGCGGCCCTCTCCCAGGAGGCAGAGAGCACAGCTTTAGGTAGTGTAAGCCTTTTTCCTTTTATTTAGAATAACCTTTTTTTTTTTCTTTTTCTTTTTTTTTAAGCAATTTCCCCACTCCCAAGTTGGGCCAGTAAAGATTACATGAAAACTGGCACACCTATCGGCTGGAATACAGATGCACCAAATGAGGATTTAAAAACTTTCCGAGCGAAAAGTAGAACAAAAAGAAAAAAGAATCTCCTAGCATTTTCCCCAAAGGTTTCACTCTCCCGCCACACACACTCTCCAAAGGACCGCTACAGATCCAACTCTGCAAGAGAAGACAGAGCAGTGTCAATCGGGGAAGCGACCAGGCCACCAGAAGGCTTTCAGTCTCCGCAGGCAGAAGGCAGCGCTGCCCGGCCGGGTCCTGGAGCCAGCACTCACCTATGTCAGTTTCTTGGCTTTGTTGTAGAGGGAATCCACTACTTTACTCATGTTCTGAATTGTTTCCAGAGCAGCTTCATAAGTTTTATCTACTGGGGGTTCATCGAAAATAATCAAGACACCCTCCCCCTGGTCCAAGATCCCTGTAGGAAACACAAGGGCAATCCAGGTAAAAGAAGGGATTAGACAGAAAAGCCTGTGGGAAGCAGCCCGCTCCCAAGTCACCTCACTTTGTCCAGAAAGGAGGGGGAAAGAAAACCCATCTCCCTGCTGCACTTATGGGTGTTTATTACGCACTCTCACCACAGAGCTAAGAGGGGCAGGATCCAAGGACCCACCACGTGAAACAAATGGGACATCTTCTTTTGAGATAAGCAAAAGTATGATGCCTCTTCAACCGTTCATCACACCACCAGCCCCTCACCTGTATGGCTGTTACTCACCATGAAATTTCTTGTCAAGAATCATCTGTGATAATTTCCTTTCTACATCGGCCTAAAAGCAAAGCACATGATTAAAGGATCAGCAGCCACTCGTCAGAGATCACAATGACATGAAAGCCTTGTACAAAAGGATTTTAGGAAGAATAAACTGAAAGCAAAACAGCAACAATAGAACTCTGGCTCTGAGCCTATGAACCCCATGCCCCCGGAGAAGCCTGAGAGCTTTCCAACAAGACCCATCAGTGTAAATGCCAGTCTTCCCATCCCTTGCCCCTTCCCTACCCCCAAGACAAGCTCAGGACTCCTTACCTTGGAAAGTTTGATGAGGCTAGATATGTGCTCAATCTAAAAGGAAAGGGAGAAAGAGACCAACACTGAAAGTTTTACTTTGGCCTCATGTACGGGAGAGGAGGGAACTGCTGTATCTCCTACAATCCTGCTGCCTGTCTCTACAGGGCTTAGGTCTCTTGTGCTCCGTCCATCTGCTACCCTGCACACCACAGACAATAAACACACTCCTGTCCCACACACCCAGTACAAAAAGCATTTACCAAATGTACAGCAATTACAAAAGCAAGGGTACTGGGCTCAATACAAGCAGGGACAGTCTCACCAGCCTCTGCCCCACAGCAACCCACTCCTCTTTGTTCTCTGCTAGAAAAAACCGAGATCTTGATGACCTCTTGCTCACCGAGCATACAAAATAGGAAGCAAGTTCCTACTCTGAATGAATATGGAAGGGAGGAGGCAATCGTGAGGATGCCTAACCAGAAACTCCCACCCATCAGGGAAGGGCCATAGTTCCCAGGGAGGTTCTTACCTGTACTCGGGAAAAAGGCTCAATGACTCGGATCAGATTCTGTTCCAGCAAGTTATCATACAACTTGGCCAAGTGTGTGCTGATGATTGGGTCATCCCGGAGCTCTGCCCGGTAATCTGTCAGGGCCTACCAAGAGAGTCAGTTGCAGAGACTGGCACAGATAAGCACTTGACAATCATGCTAGGCCTAGCTTCCTAAGGAGTCTGCCAGCCCTTGTAACTGCATGGCTGATTAAAGTTCTGGGGGATTTGAGATGAAAAAAGTTACGTCAGAAGGCAGAAAAAGGGAAACAAGAAGTAAAAAATGGAGCGATCCTACACTCCATTTCTCTGAAAGCCTCATATTGACAGCTCAGACCATGTTAGCCCCAAGAACAACTCAGCTTGTAAGCCAGATAGTTCTCAAGATGTATTCTACAGAATAGTCTCCATAGAGAAGTAAAAAAAGAGAAAGAGTTCCAAAGTTAATTAATGGGAAATGCTCAATTCCACAACAAGTTCTTAGGGTTTCACAAAGAATAACAGCATAATATAACTCTGCTTTCCAAAGATGCACCTTTCTAATTCTGGTTAGCCCTAGTGTTCCCCAAATATCTGATCACAGACCCTTTTCCCAAAAACTCTAGAAGAAATGTTCCACTAAGCATCTCAAATTTTGGGATAAAATGATCTCGACTGTTTATTCCTGTATGTGATGGATTTACCTTTAATAATAGTCTCAATACCCCAGGCTCATGTCAGCTATGCTAAAAGGTGTTAAGGGAAGCAAGCTGATAATACCAAGAAAGAATTAAATTCGCCAAGAAACCACTCCAGGAAAATGATTAATCTTGGAGATAGTGATTACCACATGGTCTACAGTCTCCATATACACTATGTTTTCCTCCCTGGATCTATATTTATTTTTATTAAGTTGAGCGATGTACTCTAAGATCAAGAGGACAGAAGTTTCAAAAGAATCTATAAGCCTTGCTTCCTTAAGTTTTTCTCCCATTTCAAACCTTCAAAATGCGTAAAAGGCCCAAGAGTCAAAACAAGCCTAGAATATCATCTGAGGAAGTGTCTTTTGCTCTAGATGATATATCAAGACTTCTTTTGTGCAAAGAGACAAAGTAGACATGGTATTTCTGGAACTGAAGGAATTCCAAAGATATGCCACGTGAACAAGCACTAGGTCTGGAGGCAAAAAAACCCTGACACATTAGGTGTGTAACTACAGGCATCCACTTTGTTTGTTTTGTTTTTTTTTTAAAGATTTATTTATTTATTTACACAAGCACTGGGTATAGTCAGAAGCACGGGAGGGTGAAAGAATTCACCAGAGCCAGAGCGGGGAGCAGAGCAGGCAGAAGGACCGAAGTACACTGCTGAGGGGAGCAGCGGGCGGCAAGAGAGGTCTGCGCGCCATGTGGGACCCTCCTCCGGTGGCTGGGGAGCAGCAGGGGATCGAACCGGCGCTACAGAGGCTGCGGGCAGCTTCGCAACCCAGCGCTCAACCGCTGCGCCACCGGGGAGTCCCCAGGCATCCACTTTGAATCCCAGTTCCTTCAATCATAAAATGGAAATAATGGGCTTGTTGTAAAAAATTAAAAGTGAAAAAAGGACAGCAAAGAACTTTAGAAAAAGAAAAGTACTACGTATAAATGAGGTATAACAACTAATTTTATTGTACAAAAGGTGTTTAACTATTTCCTGGTTCTGATATTGTCCTATAATTAACATGCAACCACTAGAGAAAACTGGGTGAAAGGAACATGGGATCACTGCGTTATCTCTGTAATTCCTTGTGAAGCAGTAATTATTTGAAAAATACAGTTTTTTTTTAAAAAGTACTTCAATGTCCCCTACCAACCCAATATACCATGCTTACCTTTTCAAAATCTGCCAATGATCTGTTCTTGCTAGCTTGGGCCACACATTTTAATGCTTCTGTCTAAGAATAAAGAGAAAGTGAAAGTGACCTATTATGCACATCCATAACCCATGAAACAAGTCTCACAGCAGTAAGCTATGTCAACACCACTTCTGGCTGCAAGGAAGACCCTGCCCCACCACTTCTTCACAGTGGTATTCAAAGAATACCATTATTAAAGGTATTCTTTGAATACCTTTATTCTTTGAATACCACTGTGTTCCAACCAATTTCCCTTTGAAATTTAAAATGATTCAACAACATCTGACACTTGAACAACAGGGAGTGTTTAAGGGCATCAAAGCCCTTGCATAGTTAAAATTCAAGTATAAAGTGACTCCCCCCAAACTTATCTACAGTCTTTCCTTAGCATCCAAGGGGGATATTTCAAATTCGAGGAGGTTCAAGTCAGCCCATGGGTTCCATATCCACAGATTCAACCAAGTGACACCTGTGGTATGTTGAATCTGTGAATATGGAACCTATCTCACTGCAAATGCTATAGGTCCAGTTCTGTAAGTCCCTCAAATTACCTGACCAAACACTGACCTTCCACTCTATGATTTTAAAAGTACAGTCATACGTCACTTAACAACAAGAATACTTTCTGAGAGATGCATCTTTAAAATGATTTCATCATTGCACAGGTGTCACCAAGTATAATTACACAAACCTAGATGATATAGTCTACTACACACCTAGGCTATAGGTATGGTCTACTCAGACCATTGTCATATATACGGTCTTGTGTTGGCCAAAACATCATAAAGTGATGCTGGATTATATAGAAAATACAACTTAACAGATTTAAGGGGAAAGGGTGGGGAATGGAGACCTGAAGAACAATGATGTCACCAAACATCATAACAGACAATATGCTGGTCCTTAGAATGAGTAGAGATCAAAAATGCAATCAAGGTATTCCCTACCTGCCTCCCTGCATACCGAAGTGCAAGCTTCCCGCTCACCAAAGCCTGGACATCTTCTGGGCTAGAAAAAAAGGCATACTTGGTGAATTGTTTCAGGATGTTATGTTTCTAAGTATAGGTTTAGGCAAGTTTCTTTTTCTTAGCCTCCCACTAGAAACTGTCCAATAAAATAATCATTTCTCATACCCAAGCCCATATGCTCCATATGCAAAAGAAGCTAGGTTTTCTCCACTCTTTCTCAGCAGTGAGGAGGGCAATTCCAACACTTACAAGAAAGCAACATGAACCAACCAAAAGTAATAGACCCAACAAGTGGAATGTAAGTACAAATGAAATTTAAATGTAATGGTATTTGGGCCTCCCTGGTGGCGCAAGGGGTTAAGCACCACACTATGAAGCAACCCGCAGCCTCTGCAGCACGAGTTCGATCCCCAGCCTGTCAGAGAGAAACCCACATGGAGAAGCAAACCTCTTCTGTCTCGCCCGCTGCTCCCCTCAGCAGTGTATTTCGTCAGTCTGCCTGTTCTGTTCCCCACTCTGTCTCTGCATAAATAAATAAATCCTTAAAAAAATAAATAAATGTAATGGAATTTTTTTAAAGATTTATTTATTTATATAAGAACCAGGGTACAGGCCAGATCTGTGGGAGGGTGAGAGGATTCACAAGAGACAGAGTGGGCAACAGAACAGGCAGAATGATGAAATACACTGCTGAGGGGAGCAGCGGGCGAGACAAGAGAGGTCTGCGCGCCATGTGGGACCCTCGTCGGCTGGCCAGGATCGAACCAGCACTGCAGAGGCTGCGGACAGCTTCACAGTGCTGCGCTCAACCGCCTGCACCACCAAGGGAGGCCTATGTAATGGAATTTATTAAAACAAATCCTGAGGCCCCACTGGTGGCACAGGCGGTTGAGTGCCACACTGTGAAGCTGTCCACAGCCTCTGTAGTGTGGGTTCGATCCAGCCAGCTGGCGAGAATCCCACAAGGCGCGGCAGATCTCTCCTGTTGCGCCTGCTGCTCCCCTCAGCAATGTATTTCATCAATCTGCCTGTTCTGTTCCCCGCTCTGTCTCTGGTGAATCCTCTCACCCTCTAGGGAATCTGGCCTGTACCCTGGTTCTTGTATAAATAAATATTAAAAAAAAAAATCCTATGTAATCCAAGTCCAAAAGTAATCTCTTTTGTTCCCAAACAATGTGAATAATCTTGTGGAATTCTTTATAAAAAGATTGTCATACAGGGTTGTCTTTTTTTTTGGAGGGGGGGTGAAGAACAGGGGTGTAGGTCAGAGGAGCAGAGGGTAAGAGGATTCACTAGAGACAGAGTGGGGAGCAGAACAGGAAGATTTACTGAAATATACTGCTAAGGGGAGCAGCGGGCAAGACAGGAGAGGCCTGCTGCACCATATGTAGGTTAGCTCCCTGGCCAGGGATCAAACTCAGGCCATAGTGGTGATAGCCCTGACTTAAACCCTGGGCCACCAGGGAGGCCCTGCTGTTGTCCTCTTTTTCAAACTCTCCCTAAACTCTTCCTTTAGTCACACCTCCTTCTTGGATGCCATAAGGCAACAGCTAGTATCTAAGTTATTTCCTGGACCTCTTTCCTATCTGAACACTCAGATAGGACTCAGTCACTATCTGAACACTCCAACAGGGGCTGGGAAGGAGGCTTCTCAAATCTATCCCCCTGGTTTTGAAAGACTATCAAAGTACTCCGGAACACCTTGACCCTCCCACTTTACCTCAACCACTCCAAGAGGCAGTAGCTGCTGCTTCTATAACTGGCCCAACTCTCCACCCATCTCTTTCATGGCAGAAAGACTTAGCTGAAAGACTTGCGTTCTCATATCCCAAAGTTAATGAGCACCTACGTGTTGAGCATAATTTTGCACAGTAACATGTACTTCAGAGATGTAATGGCCTTGGGGCTATCGATGGAGTCATAACCCTCAAATGCCTCATAGAAATATGAGTATGCAGTTTTCCAATCCTTCTCCTCTGCTGCATGGATAATACCTGGGAATTAAAAAGAAGGGCGTAAGAACCATACAAAGTAATAGATCCATAAAAGATCAGAGCTGAAAAGAGCCTCAGAAATATATTCCAACCCCATCTACTGATTGATGAAGTCAGGAAAGGTAAAGGACCTGCCTAAAGTCACCGCCAGCTAGTGGCAGAACTGGGATTAAAACCCAAGGTGTTAGGCCTCCCAGTTCAATGTCTTTTTGCCATACTGAGAGTACAAATCCCAAAGGAGTTTGAGACCAAACTCAAAAAGGATCCTAAAAATCACACGCTGGAACATCTTTCCCCATGATTCTCTTCACCAATGCGGTACAGCTGTCTTCTGGAGTCACCAGAAAAGGCCATGTTTGCCTTTCAAAACCTCACTTCCACAGGTCAGGAAATTCACCCATACATTGCTGACTGCCAGAAAAACCTGTTTTAATAACATCAACCATTTCTTGGTATAAGCAGCTTCAATGGGAGAAAAAAAATTAGCCTCTTATACTATCATTTCAATATTTGTCATTTAAGGAAGTACTTATGACTAGAAACAATCTGTATATAAATTTCACATAATGCCAGGTTCATACACTTAGTTGTACAAAGTTCAGCACTATTTCCCTGCAATGATATATACTTAAAGTTCATCTAACCAATTTGCTACTGCTTGGAAGTTGGGTTGTTTGCTCCTAGTAAGCTTAACTTTGAAACTTATATTACTTTCAACCTATGCTACCACCTGGGATAACATGAAAATTCTTTCCAGCTTGAAAGGCACCTAAGCCCTAAGACTCTATATATCAATTCTAACTCTTGCCTCATCCCCTTAGGAGTTTATAGACCTCAGTCCCACCCAATTGTTTACCACCATATTTCCCAGCATTTTCACATCAAGATACATATAGAAGTATTCCACATGCCTTTAATAAAATATGAAAATGCTTATGTGACCTCAAGAGACCTATTTTCAGTCTTTAACACACCAGTACTTGTGTGGCTGGCATACCAACTGGGAACTTCTGATTTAATAATCTCTTACTGAGCCATTTGAACCTTACTCCAGTATTCTTACCCATAAAGTCTACCACTTTGAGACTAAAAGAATCAAAGCCATCCACCACTGTTCTTAACTACTGAATCTGGAGAAAACCTGGACTTCTCTGCAGTCAAGGAGAGCTTCCTCAAGAATACACAACAAACTATTAATACTGCTAAATTAGATGAGACAACATCCCAGTTTTCCATACCTGCTTTAAAGAAGAAAAAGTAAGATAAAATAAGGTCCAAGAACAAGTACACTGCTTCCCCAAACACATTAGCAACTGAAGCCACACTAGTACTATGAGCATTACTGTTGGCATAATGAAGTCTGTTACTGAAAAAGTGAAAAACATCAGATCATCACTCATTAACATACTAATGAGTGCCTACCATGAGCCAAGCACTAATACAGCTACGCTGAAGAAGGAAGAATAAAAAGTAATATAAAGAGGGTTTATACAGACATTGAGCAGATCTAGATGGATGCACAGAAAGTTTGCCAAGGTGAGAAGATGAAAAGTGGTAATTTCAGAGCAAGGAAGACAACATACACAAGCAAAAAATAGCACAGAACACCCAGAGAACATGAATTCATTTGGTGACTAAGACTGAAAACCAGAGATTAGGATGAAAAAGGATATCTTCCTTTTAATGAATGTCATCTTAAAGTAAAATGTAGCCTGGAGATAATGGGAAAAACACTGAAGGATTTTAAACAAAAGAGTTACAGTAAGAGAGTTACTGACTTCTTTCAAGGAGAAGACAGAGACACCAAAGTTAAGGATACTTTTTCTTTTTACGAAGAACCAGAGTGCAGGCCAGAGGTGTGAAGGGTGAGAGTATTCACCAGAGAGAGAGTGGGGAGCAGAACAGGTGGATTTACTGAAATACACTGCTAAGGGGAACAGCAGGCGAGAGAGAAGAGGTCTGCACCATATGTGAGCTAGCTCCTTGGCTGGGGATCGAACTCAAGCCATAGTGGGGACAGCACTAAGATTTAACCCCTACATCACCAGGGAGACCCACTTTTTCATTTTTTCCTTTTAAAGACACTTCATGAAAAGAAGACTTAAAAGTGAAATGGCTGTACTTTTTCAGATGGTGCAGTTCAGGCACCAAGGAAAAGCCAATTGTGGAAGAAAAACTATAGACTCAGAGTGGGACAAAAGGAAAAGGGAGACGAATCACTCCTGAAAAGGCATAAAAATGGGCAGTGATATAACTCCTGCACAGGGAAGTGAAGGGGTTCACATAAAAATGGCCTCTTATAACCTCTAGGAAATAAGTTTATCTCTTGACCATGAAGGAAGGACACAAAGAAAGAGTAATGGATTAAAGAAAGTGTATCTATACTGGTCAAAGACAAGTCCTATGATGACAGCCTTCCATTCATCCCAGTTAATCTTTATCACAATCCTATGGAGAGCTGCAATTATGATTTTTCAGATGAGCTAAAAATAAATTAAGTAACATTCCAAAGTCACAGGCCAGAAACCAGCAGAACCAAAATTTCATCCTAGGAAAGTGATTCTAGAGCTTCTGCTCTTAACATCCAAACTATAAAGCATGCTGTCTGACCCTCAAAATACCCAGGTGGCATGTGGGGAAGGCATTATCCTTCTTTTACAGACATGAAAATAATATTGCTGTTAACACCAAGACATAAATTAGTCTTCTGCCTCCAATTCCAGTGCTCCTTCAATAATGGTATCATGAAATGAAAAGTAATAAAAGTAGCTGATCACAATACTGGTATTCTACTGCCAATCCACGTCCCCCTTGTCCTAACATTCACACACTCTATCAGAAAACTATACATTACACTTGGCTAAAACTGAGCAGGCAGGGAGGTCTTTCCTCAGTCCTGATCTGAAGTCCTTGGGGAAAAGCCTTCTGGAAACTTTACAAAGGTCTCCAAGTGACAACAAACTTGGGAAACAAAGAAAGTATAACAAAGGTTGGTCCAATCCTGGAGAGAAGTGCTTATCATCCTAACAAGTAACCAAGATGGAAGTGAAGGTTGCTTTTTGAAACCTCAGTGTTCCTAGGGTCTCAGCTCTAACAATCAGGTTGCCTGGTCAACCACAGATAAGCAAGTTCTTAATATATTTCAGGTAGTTAATTGAGGGAGAGAACAGTTTAGGAGGGAGCCTTCTAACTGGTTTCTCTGAAGAAATTTGGGCTGAAACAGTCAATTTTATTTTCCAGCCCCATGCCACCATTCCTTTCACCTATGAGATATGAGGAGCATGAATTGGTAGTGATACCTGACTGCATATCCAAAGTGGCCTGCAATTTAGGGGGGCAGTAGATGGCATTTGCTGTGGTTCGAGCAGAGGTTAAGGCAGCTCGGGCTTTCGGCAGATTGCTCAAAGCATGGTATGTTTTGCTTTCTAAAAGCTGTACTTCCACCAAAAGGGCTTTGTCATCCATTTTTTTCAATTCCCGGAGCAGCTGAGAACCTGGAAGGAAAAAATATATACTCCTTAGTTAGCCATCATTTTAATATGCTAATATTACAACATCTTACATTCATAAGAACTCTTAGGATAAAGAAACCTGCCTAAACCCAAAAGTATATGATCTATTTGCAAAAATTAAGTTTTCTGTTAATATGCTACCTTCCAAAAAAGAAATGTAGAGAGATGTCTTTGAAGCATGCTGCATACTAAGGACAACATTAAAGTTAAGAGTCCTGTAAGAATTACTCCCAAGAGTTGAATTCAGTGAGAATCTCCACCCAGAAAATGCTGAGCCTAGTATTCCAGTTCAGATAGGCACCTGATCTTATATTCTTTTTTTTTTTTTATAGAGGCATGTTTTATTTATTTATTTATTTGTTTGTTTGTTTAGTTTATGCATGCACTGGGTACAGTCAGAAGCGCAGGAGGGTGAGAGAACTCATCAGAGCCAGAGCGGGGAGCAGAGCAGGCAGAAGGACCGAAACACACTGCTGAGGGGAGCAGCGGGCAGCAGGAGAGGTCTGTGCGCCATGTGGGACCCTCCTCTGGTGGCCGGGGAGCAGCCGGGGATCGAACCGGCGCAGCGGAGGCCGCGGGCAGCTTCGCAACCCAGCTCTCAACCACTGGGCCACCAGGGAGGCCCTGATCTTATATTCTTCCTATACAACAATCGCAAGACCAAACTAAGGTTTTGGGGGAAAGGAAAGCATTCTGCATATGCAAATATTCTCCAAATACAACTTCTTCCCCATCTTCAGATGGCAAAATAAACTCCAGACTTGTACCATATACAAAAATTAACTCAAAATTATCCAGAAATCCAAATGTAAGAATTGGACCTATAAAACATGGGTATAAATCCTTGTGATCTTTGAATAGGTAATGATTTCCCAGATATGATACCAAATGCATAAGCAACAGAAGAAAAAACAGTCAAATGGGACTTAGTCAAAACTTAAGTGTACTTCAGGGCCTCCCCGGTGGCGCAGCAGTTGAGCGCTGGGTTGCAAAGCTGCCCGCAGCCTCTGCAGCGCTGGTTCGATCCCTGGCTGATCCCCGGCCACCGGAGGAGGGTCCCACATGGTGCGCAGACCTCTCCTGCCACCCACTGCTCCCCTCTGCAGTGTACTTCGGTCCTTCTGCCTGCTCTGCTCCCTACTCTGGCTCTGGTGAATTCTCTCACCCTCCCGCGCTTGATGGTACCCAGTGCTTGTATAAATAAACAAATCTTTAAAAAAAAAACAAAAAAACTTAAGTATACTTCAAAAGACACTATTAAGAAAATAATAAAAGCCCATAGAATAAGAAAAAATATATTTGCAATCATATAACCAGTAAGGGACTTGTATCCAGGGGGAAAAAAAAACAAAACACAATAAAATCCAAATAACCCAATTAAATAAGAAGCAAAAGAATGGAATAGACATTTCTCCAAATACATACAAATAATCATTAAGTACATAAAAATATGCTCAATATCATTAGTCATTAGGGAAATGGAAATCAAAACCACAAATATCTGTCCACAGCCAAAAAGTGTAAATAATCTAAATGTCCATCAACTGGTGAGTGGATAAAATGTGGTACAGCCATACAATGGAGTATTATTTTACAATAAAAAGGAATGAAGTACTGATATATGCTACGTCTAATAAACCTTGAAAACATGATAAGTGAAAGAAGGTAATCACAAAAGGTTATATATTATATGATTCCATTTATATATGTCCAAAACAAGTAAATTCAGGTAATTTCTGGGGTGGTTAAAATCAGATAGTGGTAATGGTTGCACAACTTAGTGAATATACCAAAATCCCCTGGATTGTGCACTTTAACAGGGTGAATGACCAAACAATATGGTACTGGCATAGATCAATGGAACAGAATGAAAGCCAAGAAATAAACCCACACAGATGTAATTAATATACAACAAAGTAGTCAATAAAACACAACAGAAAAAGGATAGTCATAAATGGTGTTGGGCAAATTGGACAATCACATGCAAAAGAATGAATCTGGGGCCTCCCTGGTGGTGCAGCGGTTGACAGCTGGGCTGCGAAGCTGCCTGCAGCCTCTGCAGCACCAGTTCGATCCCCAGCCACCGGAGAGGGTCCCCTATGGCACGCAGACCTCTCCTGCCATGCCCACTGCTCCCCTCAGCAGTGTACTTCGTTAGTCTGCCTGTTCTGCTCCCCGCTCTGGCTCTGGTGATTTCTCTCACCCTCCTATGCTTCTGACTGTCCCCAGTGCTTGTATAAATAAATAAATCTTTAAAAAAAAAAAAAAGGAATGAATCTGGACCACTATCTTAAACCACACATAAAATTAAAGTCGCGAATGTAATGTAATATCTGAAAACATAACACTCCTAAGAACATAAGTGATTAGCAACTTGGCATTGGTCTTTTTTTTTTTTTTTTTAAAGATTTATTTATTTATTTATACAAGCACTGGGTACAGTCAGAAGCGAGGGAGGGTGAGAGAATTCACCAGAGCCAGAGAGGGGAACAGAACAGGCAAACTGACAAAATACACTGCTGAAGGGAGCAGCGGGCATGGCAGGAGAGGTCTGTCGCACCATGTGGGACCCTTGCCGGCGGCCGGGGATCGAACCGGCACTGCAGAGGCTGCGGACAGCTTCGCAGCCCAGGGCTCAACCGCTGTGCCACCAGGGGAGGCCCTGTTTGTTTGTTTTTTTTAATGGCGCAATTTCATCTTTTTTTTTTAAGATTTATTTATTTATGCATACAAGAACCGGGGTACAGGCCAGATGTGTAGGAGGGTGAGAGGATTCACCAGAGACAGCACGGGGAACAGAACAGGCAGACTGACAAAATACACTGCTGAGGGGAGCAGCAGGCCTGACAGAAGAGGTCTGCCACGCCATGTGGGTTGCTCCACGGCCAGTGGGGATCGAAACAGCACTGCAGAGGCAGCGGACAGCTTCACAGTGCTGCGCTCAACCACCTACGCCACCAGGGAGGCCCTATAATGTTTTTTTTTATATATATATATGTGTATATATATACACAAAACAATTCAGAGATATTTACATCAATTATACCCTTATTTAAACAAAAAGAGTGAAAGGAGGGAATAGACATTATCTCACTAAAACTTTTCTAAAGGTACTATTTGAACTATATGAAATTGCTACTTTTCCAGGATAAAAATCAAATACTGGCAATTTTTTCAACTGACTAGATGATGAAATTAACATTCTTCCATTTTGGGTAAATTAGTCTGGATCTACCCATAGCTTTTTTTTTAAAAGCCAACAGAGTTCAGGGTGTTTAAGATCACATAAAGTTTTTAAATCAGTCAACTCCAGCTTTCATATATATTTGTATCCCTTTAACTGCCTCATCTTAAAATTGACTTTAAATATAATTATGGACAGACATGGTATGACATTCAGTAAAACAATCACATTGGACGCTTCTGTTCTCTAAATTTGACAGATAAACTCTAGTTTCTTAGAACCTCCAAATGCTATTTTTCCATGACAGATTCAGTAAAATGTAAGCCATCTTAAATCATTCTTAGATGTAGGCAAAATATAAATTATTGATATGTAACCAATAAGAGTTCCCACATTCAGAACACAGTCATTTAACTAGTATCTATGCCATATTAGTTTCTACCAACTTACCCAAATGCAATGCTTCCTGGTACCTCTTGGTATCAAAGTACAAAGACACCAGTCTTGCCTAGGAAAGAGAAAAGACATTGATTAATGCAAAGGGGAGGGAGGGAAAGAAAGAAATCACAGGTTGACAGTCACAGAACTGTTACTATTGAATATGTAAGTCCTAATGACAGCATCAAATTCAGTCTAAGAAAGATCTTATCCATGGCATTATCTCCCATTACTACCATGCTGCTGCTTGATTCTCTGAGCCAAGTAACAGGTCTGTCAAAACTTCAATCAGAGCAATTTTGATGAGTAGACTATAATCTCTAACCTCTGAATACCTGGATAACACAAAATTTCTGAAAATACTTTTGATCAAGATGGTATTACTTAGATTTAATCTGTCTTATGCCTAGAAACCTGAAATCAATACTACTAAAGGTACATACCTCCAAAGCTTGGCGTAAGAAAGTTCTTTTTTCTGATTTGGCCCACTCAATGCACTCTAAACACAATTCGACCTACAACAGAGAGAAAAGACACATGCAACATTATGTCCTCACACTCTTCCCACAAACCTTGCTTTGGAGAACAGCTTTAATTCCCTCCTTATATATACACACCAACATTGTTCTTCATCCACAGTATCTCAGTATATAATGGTTACATAATGGAGAGCCAACTTGGCTTTTTATACATAAAGTATTTTTTGCTTACATTTTATTCTTTTGGAAAAGAGCTTTATCTTCAGCACCCCTCTTCTACCTGCCCGAGAAGTACCCAGAACTCCCAACATATGTAGTCCTGGAATATAGATTTTCGAAATGGTTGAATTTTTAAAGCAGAACTTTTCTCCCTGAATAGTTGTAAATAGTAACAGTAATGTGTTAATGTGAATAAAATGGTAATCAAGAGGAGAAACTCTTAGACTAAGTGCAAATGCCTTGTTCTTAGCAGTTGCCAGTAAGACTCAAAAGGGCCATCTGGCTCTTTCCTTTCAGATCCTAAGATGTGTAAGTCATCATCACTCTTCTAGATACACAAATTTAGCCTGTATTAAAGGCAGTAAAAAGAAACTGGAATTAGCCTACCACTTACAAAGGCTTTTAAATTTTATTTAAAGATGCACTGAACTCCCAATTCTATCTGTTACCCAAGTAGTGATGTAACAAGAAAGTAACTGATTTAAAGTAGCACTCTAGTCTAGATGGCCTATGTGCCATTAGGTATCCTTGACATATTTGTACAAGTTACGAACTGCAGCTCTTAGATTACTTCTGCAAGTTTGTAGTAAGATTCCTAATCAGAATCTAAGATAAAAACTGAGCTTTGAAAATAACTAATTGCTACTAAAACAGGTTTTTATGTAAATCCAAAGTTTTCTTAAGAGATGCTGTAAGGAGGAAAAAGTAAAGGAACATAATTCAATTGAAAGATCTACCTTTGAATCCTTAGGACAAAGTTCAGTAAAAAAAAATGCTGACATTACATTTTATTTGGAAGATTCACCAGTGAAGAAGTCACTGAAACCTTTACAAATAGAGCCCTCTAGTGGTTACTTAAACTCCAATTCTAAACTCAACTGACTTCATAAAAGTTCTACAGAAGTTACAATAAAAGCAAGCCAATTACAATTTCAGAGTTTTGAGATATGTTCTGAAAAGCCAAAACTAAAGTAAGATTTCTGTTCATGACACCAATGGGACTGAAAATATTTTGCCAACCATATTCAGCAATAAAAATTAAACAACTTTAGTTCTAAGCATTTGGGGTGATGCGGGGGGAAGGGGGGAATCGCTAAGAAATACCCATTGGTACAATTTTATTTTACCCAGAGAGCTTTTTCAAATATGAATAAATGCAAATAATGAGGAGGAGGAGGAGGAGCAAGAGTGCCTAAGTTCCTATAATGCAGAATAAAGACTGGCCACTCCAACACATATTCCTAGTTAAGAAACACTGAATTCTAATCCAGCATCTCACTTGCCCCCATTCCTTAACATAGCAGTTGTTCCAAGGTCACATATCAGCTGCTGGAACCAACTCAACCCTATGTCCAGTTTTCATTCTACCTCAATTCCTCTTTAGATTCAGGTCAATATAGACATTTCTTCTAGAACAGCGATTTTTTTACACCATGAACGGCATATCTATTGTTAATTACACGGTACATGATTTGTGTTATCTAGTGCTGTCAACATAAAATTTTTAAAGATCACTGCTCTTTCTACTGACACTTTGAGATTTCTTTGTCCTTTGTTAATGCTGACAATGACTTACAAAGGGGACAGGAATATATAAGAGCCAGTGCCCTGAAGGAAGCACTTACTTGAATACAAAAGTTGGATGTGGTCAAAATTACATATTTTAGTCTTAAATCAATAAACTTGGGTTATTTTTGAAAGGACTTTATTAAGTAAATTTCTAGAGGAAAAAATAACTATTCCAAGTCTGAAATTCTCTAGCACAAATCCCCCTTCCCACTGAAATAACTGTTTTAATAATAGGATTTTCAATACTAGACTTTTTAAAATACACCAGTGTGTTCAATAGGGTAGACTACACCAATAGCTGGTTTCCCATAGGCAACTCCCAGAGCCCTGACAGGTAAGGCTAATTCTGGAATTTTAGGTCACCATTTGGCGAAGATCTGGTTCAGTCTTCTTTCACCCCTCCATACCTATAAATTCACTCCTTCTCCTCACCAACCATCCCTCACCCCTATATATATATTCTCACTTCTAGGATCCAAACCTGAGTATTGCAACTGACCTGATCCTAACCTTAATCATACCAGTTTGGAGAATATAGCAAAGCTGACAATTTATCTTGTACATCTATCTGACTTACAGTTAGTCTCCAAATAGAAAAAAGGCGAGGAAAACAGCCTCCTCATACTCAGTACCAAACTCCCCAACATGAAACACCTAACCTTGTTAAGAGTTCTAAAACCTGGGCCTCCTGGGTGGTGCAGCGGTTAAGCGTTGGGTTGCGAAGCTGCCCGCAGCCTCTGCAGCGCCGGTTTGATCCCCAGTCGCCTGGGAGGGTCCCACATGGCACGCAGACCTCTCCTGCCGCCCGCTGCTCCCCTCAGCAGTGTACTTCATCAGTCTGCCTGCTCTGCTCTCCCCTCCGGCTCTGGTGAATTCTCTCACCCTCCCGCGCTTCTGACTGTACCCAGTGCTTGTATAAATAAATAAATCTGTTTTTTTTTTATTTTTTTTAGATTTATTTATTTATTTATACAAGCACTGGGTACAGTCAGAAGCGTGGGAGGGTGAGAGAATTCACCAGAGCCAGAGCGGGGAGCAGAGCAGGCAGAAGGACCGAAGTACACTGCTGAGGGGAGCAGCAGGCGGCAGGAGAGGTCTGCGCGCCACGTGGGACCCTCCTCCGGTGGCCGGGGAGCAGTTGGGGATTGAACCGGCGCTGCAGAGGCTGGGGGCAGCTTTGCAACCCAGCGCTCAACTGCTGCGCCACCAGGGAGGCCCTAAATAAATAAATCTTTAAAAAAAAAAAAAAGTTCTAAAACCTGGGCCTCCCTGGTGATGCAAGGGGTTAAGATGCAACCTATGAAGCTGTCCACAGCCATTGCAGCAGGGAGCTACCCACATGGCGCAGCACAGCTCTCCTGACTCGCCCGCTGCTCCCCACTCTGTCTGTGTTGAATCCTCCCTTCCCCCATCCCTCTGGCCTTTACCCCAGTTCTTGTATGCATAAATAAATAAATATCTTTAAAAAAAAAAAAAAGACTTCTGGGACTCCCTTGATGGCGCAGGCGATTGAGTGCCACGCTATGAAGCTATCCACAGCCTCTGCAGCGCTGGTTCAATCCCGGCGGGCCAGCAAGGGTCCCACATTGCACGGCAGACCTCTCTTGTCGTGCCCACTGCTCCCCTCAGCAGTGTATTTCATCAGTCTGCCTGTTCTGTTCCCTGCTCTGTCTCTGGTGAATCCTCTCACCCTCCAGCGCATCTGGCCTGTACCCCGGTTCTTGTATAAATAATAAAATAAATAAATCTTTTTTTTTTTTTTTTTAATTTATTTATTTATTTATTTATACAAGCACTGGGTACAGTCAGAAGCGCGGGAGGGTGAGAGAATTCACCAGAGCCAGAGCGGGGAGCAGAGCAGGCAGAAGGACCGAAGGACACTGCTGAGGGGAGCAGCGGGCGGCAGGAGGGGTCTGCGCGCCATGCGGGACCCTCCTCCGGTGGCCGGGGAGCAGCCGGGGATCGAACCGGCGCTGCAGAGGCCGCGGGCAGCTTCACAACCCAGCGCTCCACCGCTGCGCCACCGGGGAGGCCCTAAAATAAATAAATCTTAAAAAAAAAAAAGAGTTCTAAAACTTAACAAATAATGTTCTTATTTTACCTCAAGCTATACTATCACAGTGATCTACCTATGACCTACTCCTCTAACCTTTCTTATAACTCAATCATTTTAAAAGAACTTAAGACTTTACCAAGATGATGACTCTATCTAGTTTTCCCTAGTCAGAGACTTGAGTCACCAGAAAGGACAAATGTAGTACTATAACTCCATGCTTATATCTCAGTTCAACAAAGTTACATCTTAATTCAACAATGCATCTCCTGAGCATTTACTATAGGGAATCTATATATCCCTTCAACAAATATTAGTTACGTAGCTCCTCTGAGTCAAACTAAATGTAAATGTAGAGTATATAGCAGGGAGCAGGAAAAAACAGCGATCCTATTGGAATTTACATTCTAAAGAGGAAACATGTTAAATAAGTAAAATAAATATGAAGAAAAGGAAAGCAGAGGTAGGATGATCAAGAAAGGTCTGAGGAAATGACATGTAAACAAAACTAGAAATGATATGAGAAAGAGTCATATTAAGATCAGGCTTGAGAACTGTCAAGATATATAAAAATGACCCAAAGCCAGAACAGCTTAACGTTATAACAAGATGGTCATTACTACAGCTGTAAATAAACTACAAGGAAGAACAGAATAGTGGTGAGGTCAGAAAAAGCCATGGTTAAGGAACAGTCATGTACTGAATGAGAGAAAGGCACTGTGGTTTTACAGGGTATACAGTTTTTCACCTGAACGAGATGTAACATTACAGTAAAAAGAATTAAAGCAAATGTACAAGTAACTATCATACAAAGCAGAATAATCAGAAATATATATAACAGAGATCAATGTCACATTAGAGTTTAACAAGGAAAACTTCAGAGGCGGAACTTGAAATGTGACTACCAAAGGGGAAGGGATAACATGAAGAGCATAGAGGATCGACAGCAAACAGCAGGCATCTAACATAGCTGACATGTTGGGTATACTTCGAAGAATACCAGGACATCAGGCTGCTATGGTAGGTTGTTTATCAAAAACCATGAAGTGAGGCCTCCCTGGTGGCGCAGGGGTCAAAGTCAGTGCTCTCAAACTGTCTTACGGGCAATGGACAGTCACTGAAAATGCAAGGTGGGGACTAACGCAGAGGATTAAAATGTTCAGGGGGTACTGGGTAGGGTTATCTCTCACACTGGTGGTATTCAATGTGGTATAAGTCTTTTATAGCAGTCAAAGAACTAATTAGGAATCAAACAAGAGGGTGGTTGTAAATAGAGAAAGACATACAAAAGTGAAGAAGCAGACAGTGAAGAAAGTTAACAGAACTTAAGGGGCCTCCCCTGGTGGCGCAGCGGTTGAGCACCGGTCTGCGAGGCTGCCCGTAGCCTCTGTAGCAGTGGTTCATTCCCCGGCCACCAGCGAGGGTCCCACCAAAAAAAAAAAAAAAAAAGTTAACGGAACTTGATAAATGACTGGATGTTGAGGTTGGTAATGCTGAATTTGAGGTACAGGTAAGATGATCTGGATAATTCATAACTTGTTCCAAGACCAACCTATAGTCCATAAGCATCACGAAAAGAAGCTATCCTGAATGGATTAGAACTCTGGCTCTTGATAAAAAGATAAATTTACATAGCACTAAAGTGACACTAATGATAAAATGACATCTTTTCTACCACTCTAGGAAAGGTTTGTAGTTGACAAAAATATGCAATGAACAGTGGCAACATACAAACACAGTTAAAGGAGGTCCCTAATAACCAAATACGGAACCATATGATAAAGACCAGTAAATCTCACTAGTCAATTGCAAGACAGAACTAAGATATGGACAAAGTAGAAGATCTGACCATTAAACAGATTCTATCCACCAAGACAGCTCTGTTATGGGACGAGGCAAATTCTAGAGACTTTTATGTTCAAAGGAGCAGTACAGATAATTAATTTTTCTGCCTAAAAAGTTCCAGGTAACATTATTAATCTGTTTCAAACTAACATTTATTGGTTAGCCAGTTCTAGTGTATTCTATTTCAAACAAAACAGTGGTGCTACTTTTTCATAAGAATAAGGTATAGGGCCTCCCCTGGTGGTGCAGCGGTTGAGTGCTGGGCTGCGAAGCTGCCCACAGCCTCTGCAGCGCCAGTTCAATCCCCGGCTGCTCCCTGGCCAGCAGAGGAGGGTCCCACATGGCACGCAGACCTCTCCTGCCGCCCGCTGCTCCCCTCAACAGTGTACTTCAGTCCTTCTGCCTGCTCTGCTCCCCACTCTGGCTCTGGTGAATTCTCTCACCCTCTCGCGCTTCTGACTATATACCCAGTGCTTGTATAAATAAATAAAATTAAATTAAAAAAAAAAGAATAAGGTATAATAAAAAAAATTAGGGCTAGATAAGATTAAAACCCATAAAAATCCACTTTTTCTTTTAAATTAGTCACAAAAATAATTACATTGCTGCAGTTCTAAAGACAACCCTCTAAGTATTATCCATGTTTGATCTACTATCAAGAAACAAAATCCTGTCAAAACATGGAGATTTTTCTACAAATGAATTATATAACAAATGAAGTTGGTTTACGGCTTTTAACCTAGGCTTTAAAGAACCACTAAGGCAAGAAACCAGATTTTACAAGACATGATTTCAAGGATCCATATGTCCCTAGGTTTCTGAAGTTTCTCATTATTTACCCAATATGCTACCATGCTCTTTCTTACCTTTTTTTAAAAAAATATTTATTTATGCATACAAGAGCTGGGGTACAGGCCAGAGATCTGGGGGGGTGAGAGGATTCACCAGAGACAGAATGGGGAACAGAACAGGCAGACTGACTGAAACACACTGCTGACAGGAGCAGCGGGCTAGACAGGAGAGGTCTGCTTCACCATGTGGGTTGCTCCCTGGCTGGTCAGGGATTGAACTCGTGCTGCAGAGGCTGCGGACTGCTTCATAGTGTGGTGCTTAACCCCTTGGGCCACCAGGGAGGCCTTCTTACCTCTTTTTTATACATTGCAATGGCCTAAACAATTAGACATAGAGCTATCAGTAATTCCAACCCCTGCCCTGATACTATCTGGTATTTTATATACTTATTATCTGCCTCCCTCATTAAAATATAATCCTCATGAGAGCAGTGACTGAGTGTTTTTCCAACCAGTATCTATACTGGTGCCTAACACACAAAAGACACTCAATGAGTACTGATCAATACAGGAAAGACAACAACTATAGTCTTCCTACAGGTGCAAACAACCACAATAAACTCTGCTTAAACCTGCCAGTTTTACAGAATATTGATTCTATAAGCTGATATGCTATCATCTGGCATGTGTCTCCTCTTGAATTGCAGAAAAATGTAACTAGTTCTGAAAAGGTTGGAAAGGTTCAGTGATTCCAAAGAGGCACTCCTTAATACAGTTCAGGATCTGGTCTGCATGAGACACAAATGGTTGTTCACCCCTCAATAAAGGCATACACACGGTACCAAAAACTGCTAAGAAAAGATGCCATAAAACTTAATTAGTGCTCACAAGGAGTTCTGTGACACACAGTGAAAGTACCACACACATAGAAAACATTACAAAGGTGTGGTAATACAATACTTCAAAGACAAGAATCAGTTTGTGACCCTGATGTAATGAGGATTCCAGGGACCACTGACAATCTCTACTTACAAAGCAAAGCCTGGAACAGACCCAAAGTATCAAATGCCCTGTAACAAAGAGAAACTGACATGATAAGTCCTGAGCTGTCTTTCCAGGTGTCCCTTCCACATTAGTACTGAAGTGTAGACAAGCATTTCTTTCACTGAAACAGACTTTTTCCATATTATCTACCTTTTGTCATTAAAGTAGCTTACCTCCTGCCCTGTTGCTGCTTCCATATCAAGAAACAGATCGAGAAGAGATCGGACCAAACGAGCTGCTTTAGCCTTGCTGATGGAATTTAAGAAGGGTCGCACATATTTCAGGAGTCCTCCAAGCTCTGTTTAAAAGGCAATTCAGAAAGGAGAAAGTAAACATGAATACTAGAGACAAAATACCCTTTAAAAAATTACCCAAGATCATAAAACCAGTACTTATGTCACTGGAATTAGCCTAAATGAAACAGTAGAATTTAAATTATTACTAGCAGGCAATGGAGTAGCTCAAAGAAATTAACAATATATATCAATTTATATTTTATTCCCTACCAGTCACTGGATTCCTATAAGGGACCCTGGAAAAAGCTCATCTCTCTCTGGTTTATGTATCCATCATAATAAGATAAATAGATAAGTATTCTTACTCTCAGAGAACAGTTTCCTAGAACATGAACTATATTGTGCCTCTGTCTACTTTGGACAAAATTACATCCCTGTAAGCAATAAATTTGAACAGACTATAGGAATTAAAAATCTTGTTTTAATTTCCAAGTCTGCTTTAGCAATTACCCTTAAAAAATTCTAGGTTCCTGGGCCTCCCTGGTGGTACAAGGGGTAAGCACCACACTATGAAACAATCCGCAGCCTCTGCAGTACAAGTTCGGTCAGGGAGCAACTCCCGACTGGCCAGGGAGCAACCCACATGGCGCAGCAGACCTCTCCTGTGTCGCCCGCTGCTCCCCTCAGCAGTGTGTTTCAGTCAGTCTTCCTGTTCTGTTCCCCACTCTGTCTCTGGTGAATCCTCTCACCCCCCTCCCACGTGCCTCTGGCCTATACCCCAGCTCTTGTAGGCATAAATAAATAAATCTTAAAAGAAAAAAAATTCTAGGTTCCCTTTTTCCTTCCTTCCTGAAGTATTCCTTAGTTTAGCCTTTCAGCATTATCACTTCCCTCAATCTCTGAATAAATGTTTCCCATTAAAGCTAACGTGCTTTCGGGCCTCCCCGGTGGCGCAGCGGTTGAGAGCTGGGTTGCGAAGCTGCCCGCAGCCTCTGCGGCGCCGGTTCGATCCCCGGCTGCTCCCCGGCCACCGGAGGAGGGTCCCACATGGCGGGCAGACCTCTCCTGCCGCCCGCTGCTCCCCTCAGCAGTGTACTTCGGTCCTTCTGCCTGCTCTGCTCCCCGCTCTGGCTCTGGTGAATTCTCTCACCCTCCCGCGCTTCTGACTGTACCCAGTGCATGTATAAACAAAACAAACAAACAAACAAATAAATAAATAAATAAACAAACATGCCTCTATTAAAAAAAAAAAAAAAATTTCTAAAGCTAACGTGCTTTCCCCACGAGGGTTTTTTGCCCCTGTAGAATACGGTGGTACTGTAACACTAAGCAATTGTCTTTAGAAATAAGAGTAAAAATTAGAGAATGTTCCAGCTAAACAATTAGAAAGTATTTTTGCAATGTAGGTTAAAATGACTTTAGTGCCAGTACCTCTTTAATATGCTACAACTGTAGAGCTGAGAACTCTAATTTGGGGCAAGCAAACCTCACCCTCCTGAGAATGCTAATTCCAGGTCCCAATATCCTCAGCTGCCTTAATAGTCACAGAATGCATGGGACTGTGTCAGGTGTGAAAGGATAGGAAAAGAACTCTATTCCCTGCACTCTTTAGTAGTGACCTTTGATTCCAACTGTCTAAAATTTTTTTTCCCATTCTGTTACCCATCTACCCCTACAGACTATATTCACTCCTGCTTTCATGCCTCACTCATGCTATATACATTCCTATCTAGAATTTCTTTCCATATTCTCAATCTATATGAACTTAGGCATTCTTTTAGCTCTTGCTAAAGTCCTACTGAATCTTCTATGCCAAATTCAGGCTACACAGATTTCTCCCCCTCAAATTTCTTTTGCCTTTATGTAAATTTCAATCGTATTATGTAATCATAGCTTTTTAAAGGTGAAATGTCCTTTCTTCCACAGCATTTCCTCCTATGCTTGTTCAACGCTGGGCAATCCAAATTGTGCCTTCCTGAAACAACAGTCCACATACTCCTTCTACATGGTTTCAAATATTTGATAACAATCGTTTACATCTCCCTACTTTGCCCTTTCTTCAAACTAAATATCTTTACTTATTTCAACTGTTCCTCCAATGTCCTGGTTTCTAGGCGCCTTATCATCTTCGTTTCCCTCCTCTACATGACCTCTAGTTTGCAAATGTACCACTTGTGGTCACTAGAACTGAAAACAATGCTTCAGGTACTGCCTGATCAGTAGAGTAATGAGGCTTAATGCTCCTGATCTGGCCACCACATGTAACACTATTTAACATGCTTTGCTTTTTCTCATATCTTTGGAGAGACTGAATCCATTAACATCTTTTCTGCATAGACAGGTCATTTCCCACCTTCCTTTGTTTTGATAAATACTTCATTATACAACTTTAAACTTACAAATGAATTGAATCTTGCTGGTGTGGCCAATAACTGTGACTCTTCATTCTGCCCTCTTCTAAGTCAGCTACAACTATACACAAACCTTCTAAGATGGCTTTATCCATACTGCCAGATGCTGACCAGAAGAACAAGGTCAGACCCCTGACATGATGCTGGATTTCCCTCCAACTTCACAAATGATCCATTTTTCATTATCAATCCATAATATGCACCTGTCATTAATATTATAGCAAATGTTCAAATACCCTGCCTGTATCAGGTCTGTAGTTGTTACCATTCCTCTACCCGGGGTTGGCAAACTTTTTCTGTGACAGGTCAGATAAATATTTATGGTGTTGTAGTCTAAATGGCAGGTAATCAACTCAGCCACTGCAGTGCAAACATTGTCATAAACAATATGCAAACAAGAGGGTGTGGCTATGTTAGAACAATACTTTATTTACCAAAACAGGTGGCAGGGCATTGTGGAGTCTTGCAAATCTCTGGGTCTGACAAAGCCAAAGAAACTAAGATGAGTTTGGAATAATCTGCCCTTAGTAAACCCACTGTTTTAAGTAATTAAGGGGCCTCCCTGGTGGCGCAAGGGGTTAAGCACTGCACTATGAAGCAATCCGCAGCCTCTGCAGCACGAGTTCGATCCCCAGCCAGCCAGAGAGAAACCCACATGGCGAGGCAGACCTCTCCTGTCTCACCTGCTGCTCCCCTCAGCAGTGTATTTCAGTCAGTCTGCCTGTTCTGTTCCCCGCTCTGCCTCTGGTGAATCCGCTCACCCCCCGCATCTCTGGCCTGTACCCCAGCTCTTGTATGCATAAATAAATAAATCTTAAAAAAAATAAATAAAATCTACTTATCAAATAATCTGTCCTAGAACTTTACTGCTGATTGAATCTAAATGTGTCTGAATCTGTTCTGTTCATTAGCTCTTTAAAAAGTGTAATAACATTTGCCCATCCTCAGTTCCCTTATACCTGTACATCCTCCGTGATTTTTCCTTAATTGTGGCTGTATAATTATATCTGCTAGAACTATTCTTTTCATACTAAAAGACAGAAATTACCACAGCTTAGAGACCTGAACTTAAAGAAACTATCTGCTCTCTTGTCTCACCTACCCTTTTTTAAATTCTCCCTTTCTGATGTTATTTCTATCTTTTTTCAATTTGAAAATCATTCTCCTTCCTGGAAAAGGCAGAAGTGAAATATGAGGCTAAGCAGTCTGCCTTTCTCTCTAACACCTGCTGGCATTACAGCCTCTTCTCTAAGCACTGTTACTCTTCTTACCCTAATAGGAAAACAAATGACCTCTTATTTGCCATTTTACAAAAGACTCAGTTCATCTTTCATTTTAGTCTACTACTGTTTCTCATTCTTGGTTATAGTCTTGCTATCCATCTTCACAAATATTGAGTTGATTTATTTTAAATCCCATAAAATCACACTGGCTTCATCCACTAATCTTACTGAGATTATATGACCAGAATTATATGACCAGAATTGTAAATATATGACCAGAACTCTCTTTTCAGAACCTCAAAGAACTCAACATAATCCTTTAAGTCTTAGCCTATGAAATCTCAGATCCTGACTAGGCACCATGTCTTATGATGTGCCGCACTGCTTTCAATCCCTATTATGTGTAATTGTCTTATTCACTAGCTCCCAAGGCACAACTACCAGTTGAGGACCCTATCATAAATATCTGAGTACAGTACCTAGCCCAGTACTGACAGTATATAAAAAAGAATTAAAGATGAATGGGACAAACATATTTTCTGTTCTTAGGGAACTCAAAATCAAAAGAAACAGCACAGGGACTCCCTGGTGGCGCAAGGGGTTAAGACGCAACCTATGATGCTATCTGCAGCCACTACAGTACGAGTTCAATCCCCCAGCCAGGGAGCTGCTCACATGGCACAGCAGACCTCTCCTGACTCACCCTGCTGCTCCCCTCAACAGTGTATTTCGGTCAATCTGCCTGTTTTGTTCCCCAATCTGTCTCTGGTGAGTCCTCTCACCCCCTGCACCTCTGGCCTGTACCCCAATTCTTGTATGCAAAAATAAATGAATCTTAAAAAAAAAAAAAACACACAAACTTATCAATTACTGCTAGCAAAGATAAGTAAATAAACATAGACTTCAAAACTTCCTCAGGGTTTCTATTTTATGTAACTATGCTCATCAAATTCTTTCTTAGAAAACAATGGGAAAGTTTTTGACAGTCCTTTTGAGTCACCTGTTAATTTCAATAGGTTAATTTCAATAGGTTTAGCTGTATACTTGGGTAGCTGAACTACCCAAGTACTGGGTACTTGGAAGTACTGGGAAGGAGTAAGAAAAGAGTTAAACATGAAACAGCAATCTCAAACAAAACAGAGAACTAATGAACTTTCTGAAGTATCAACTATACTATATGCTGTTTTAATTATACAAGCTATTGGAGAAAAAGAAAGATTTAGATATTTCAACAACTTGAGAACCTTGACTCACTTTACCTGACTTTCTAATTCTTTCAGGAAAATTACCTACTATACTTTAATCATATTTTCATGAAGTAATTATCAACACTGTATCATTCTATTTCAAGCTCACATTAAGTGACAGGAAAAAGGACTACATAAATATGTTAAATAGGAAGAAAGTCAGGTTTGGGGCGGGGGGAAGCCTGCCTACCTACCTACCACTAATAATCCATAAATGGGAAATTACAACTGTGTAACTGCCACTATGCCATGAGATCATGAGCGACAAAGTGAGGCTATAACATAAGTTCATATCTTGGTTCTATGCATATGCTGAGTGACCTTGGATAAGTCAATTTAATTTTTCCATAATTAATTTCCTCTGTATTAAATGTATCCTCCCTATCAAGTTGTTTTGAGGATCCAATACTAAACCGTTTTTGCTTAAAACAGCAACTCATTCATAATAAGCACTCAAAAACTGTAGGCATGCTATTTCTTATTTTTTATACGCAAACACACACACACACACACACACACACACACACACACACACAGGTATTTCAAATAAGATATAAGACCTATATAAACATAACCCAATATCAAACATCTTTACTCAACTTTCTACTGAATGACTCTCCTAACAAGTTAGTCATCCTTAATTGGGAAATGTATTCTCAAGGTCCAGTTTTGCTAACTTACACCTATCATTCTCTTAGATAATAACATATTTGGGGAAAAGTAATTAATGATGTCACTTAACAGAATTTTACCCATGCTAATTAGATAATCTCTAAATCTACTTTGAGGTTGACAAAAATTATCCCCTTTAAGTTTAACCAGACTTGTCTCTAAATACTATTACCACTTTTCTGGTCAAAGGCCCTTCCTGGTCAAAAGGATTCTTATTCCAAGACACACCCATCATCAGATTATCATCTCAAGTCTCACAAGTCAATGATTCCATTATATTGACAGAATGGTTGGGCAATGACATGCACAAAGTCCTAGGTACCAACAGAGAAATTTCGGGAAAACTCTATCTAATGTATTACTCATTTTGTATCGGGGGAAAAAGCACAGCAAGTCACTTACCTGAATACAATATCTCTAGTTATTTTCAAGTCAAGAGCCTAAAGTCACTATCCACCTTAAAAACATCAGAGCCGCTCACTGAAGACTGCTGATGCTACTGCTGCTGCTGCTGCCTGAGTAAGGGAATGTTCAAACCAGAAACAAATCACAGATCACTACATCCCAACAGGAACAAGTTCTTCCCTAACCTGCAGAACAAAAATCTTTCATGAAAGAACTAAATTTAAAGGCACTTATTGTCCTGCTTAGAAACCAAAGTGCAACAAGTTGGCAATAAAAGTGAATTTACCACCAGTTACCTGTGTGAATGCATTCCTATGTTCTTTACTACAACACAAAAATTCAAACTTCATCCAGGATTTCAGGTAGAAGAGGAAACAATCCATTTGCAGCACATACCTGCAGCCTGTCCAGTCTTCGCCAGGAGAGACCCCAGTTCCAGGATGCTCTGCTCTTTGACCTGCACTGCTTCCTCATCGTTCTCTTGAATGTCACGCTTCACTGGGAGGAGAAAATGCAAACCCTCTCAAAATTCTGACAGAAAATTAAGACTGAGGGAAATTTAACACTTGTAAGACCAATTACAAACTGAAACATGGTTAGAGGTTAAAAAAAAAAAACTCTTAAAAAGAAAAAAAGATCATGTAGGACATGTTCCATGTAAAGCATAAAACTAAGAGTCCTCCCTTTGACTTTAAATGTATCTTTTCATCTTATCAATTAGCATTTCCCTTTTGCTGCAGTCACTTGGTTAAAACAAAATACAAACAAAAAAGTTCTTCCCAGTTGTAGTAAGCCCCATGCTAGGCAGTATATTTATATGAAAATATTAAACATGCCTGTGCATTTACCTGCCACAAATGAAAATCAAACTACCAAGTTACTGATAACTATCAAATCACAATTCCTTCAATAAATCTGGAAAGCCTCAGCTGATGCATGCGTATGTTAGGAATTAGCAATTCAACAAAGCCATTCAGGAAAAACAACCCTATCAAAGCTGTCAATATGAACCTTAGAAGAGATAGCTGCTTTATAATGGATTCAGGACCTACTTAAATAACTTTGTCCCATCTGTCCCACTTTCAACTGCTAGTAACTGTTCTACCACTTGAATACTGAAGAGTCTAAGTTTGTAGTGATAAATTTAGTGATCAACATTAGTTATGACTTCTCTGACAAAGCATCATGACTTGGCAAAAACCAAGATTTTGATACTCCATGATGGAGTCTGGAAAAAGTAAGACTCAACCATCATGACTCAAGCTTCTTCTAAGAAGGGAGCTTTCAGGGAACTCTGTCCTAGTGTAGTGGGCAAGCAAGAGATACTCTAACTATAATGTTAACCATACTTTTCACTTTATAAAACACAAAGTATTAGGCACTAAACACATCTCCAAACATAAAATCTATACTTCTCACATAGTTCTGAATATTAATGTGTACTCAGAATAAAAATACACATGTAGCAATGTGACTGAGATTGACTCTGGTTCGGGAAGTCTAAGTGACTTTAGATCAGAACTTCAAAATAAAACACTATTTACCAGTATCATCCATTAGCAGATGCATCTGAACCTCCATGCCTCTCCTTCTATACCCAAAGATGAAGCCATCAAGATCTTGTTCTTATCTTTTTTCCTTTCTCCATGCAAGTCAGGAGTACCAAAATTTAACACACAAGTGTCAATACAAAAGCCAGCACTCTGAGGGTCCCACATACACGTGTATTCTTATACAACTTGTTGATCCAATTAGAAACTTCTCAAATGCATTAAAAAGAACAGATTACTATACGTGCAGGGAAGAGCTAATCCATGCCCTAACTGAACCCTTTTATGACTGAGCATCAAAAGACCTTCTCTGTTATCATAAACTTATTTCTGTTCACACCTGAATCACAGTAGAAAACTGTCAGAAGCGACCGGCTAAGGGTCCCATTTCAGCTTTCCTGTTCGCGTGTAAAGCGTAAGACAACCACACTACAACGTTAAGAAAATCATCTTTAATTTCTCCGACAATACGCTCCTGGCCGTAATCTAAGAGTTCCTTGAACTCTGAGGCTGACAACTCCCCGAACTCACTTCCAACCTCTACAGGGGAGACTAGGGCGATTAGTCACCTTCTCTAGCCAGGCGGTCCCACCCCGACATCTCGCTCTTACACCCTACACCGGGGCAAAGGAATGCCCTGGCCACCTCCTCAAAGCAAAATGCCAACCTGAAGCGTGTGCCCCCTCGGTTCTCCCACATTCAGAAAGAGCCCCCCTTTTCATGGAGCCTTCCGCTTTGGGTCTGGGGAGAAGTAGCAGCTCCCAGCGTCCCGTGAAAGGAAAACTCCAAAAGAAAAGCGAGCACTTGCGCTCCCACCCAAAGCGGGCTGTGCTGATAACAACGGCGGGAAATGCCAGTCCAAAGCGGGGTTCGCCAAGGCCCTTCAACTCGAGGCTCTCACGCCAGTTCCCGACCAGCCCGCCGGCCCGCACTGCTCCGGGTCCCGGGCAAGCCCGCACGGGCCAAAGCGGGGGACGAGGCTGGGAAGTGGCGGGGGCCCGGGCTCGGCCCACTTTGCTACCCCACACAGAGCCCACCGTGAGTCAGCAGCCGGCAAGTGGCCGCCGGGGTGCCTCGGGACTTCCCGCCGGGTGGGACGAGGGGACCACAGGGAGCTCCAAGCGGCCTGCGCCCCCGGCCCGGCCCCCCTCACACACAGTGAGTCAGCAGCACCAGAGCCGGGTAGCCTGCCCCGCTCCGCCGCCGCCGCCCGACACAGGCCGACCTGGGCCGGCGGGGCTGGGGAGGGGGCGCGGCGACCTTTACCGATGGAATGGAGGATATCGATGGAGGCCTCCCGGTCGGTGCTGAGTAGAGACTGGGCTCTCTGGAACTCCACCACCGCCGCCGCCGCCATCTTACCGCTCACACACTGTCCCTGGCCTCGGCCTCCGACGCCGGAAACACACACCCGGAAGGCCCGCCCTCGCGTCCCTCTTTCCCCCGCCTCTGCTCCCAGAGACCCATGGGAGTCGTAGTCTCCGGCTAGGTTGGGTGTGTGAGGCGTGAGGGGGAGAGCGGGGGCGTCCCGCCGGTGGGCGGCAAGCTCTCCAGCACCGCCTAGTGGGCAGTCGGCGAGTGAAAGAGGCAGTGCCTAAGAATTGGAGGCCAAGACTCTGCCCAGAAACCCCCCACAAGAGATCTATGAACTCTGACTCCCGTCGTTCACCATTGAGAGTTTTTGAGCGCCAAGCTAGCTGTTCAGGGAAAGATTTATAGCTTCCGCCTTTAACAATTCAGTCAAACAATAAACTATCTTATAAAGTACTCAGTACGTTGTAGCAAAAAATAGCATCATTCAGGGGCCTCCCTGGTGCCTCAAGGGGTTAAGAAGCAAACTATGAAGCTGTCCGCAGCCTCTGTGGCATGAGTTCTAGCCCCAGCCGGCCAGGGAGCTACCCACATGGCGCAGCAGACCTCCCCTGCCTGGCCGCTGCTCCCCTCAGCAATGTAGTTCAGTCAATCTGCCTGTTCTGTTCTCCACTCTGACTCTGGTGGATCCTCGGCCCCCACACCTCTGGCCACTACCCTATTCTTGTATGTATAAATAAATAAACCTTTTTAAAAAAGAGCATCGTTCAAAAGTGTTCAGGGGTCTAGCAACACTTGGAGGAGTATGCGTGCACGTACACATGCACAAACACACACACATTTTCCAGACTAGAATCCTGCAGTATCCTAGCCAGCCTGTGATTAAACCCAACAATGTTTCAGAGAAAACTGATGGGTTAGTAAGTGATATCATTTTTGTCCCATTCACTCAAAGAATCCTGGGGATTGCACAAAATCTAACAGCTACCCTGAACTCACCAGCTCAAAAAAAGAGGGAAATAGGACTTTTCTTTCCAATTTCCAGTTCCTTTGACTAAAACCAGATATCTGAAAATGTATGAAGGAGTACTGTGGACTGAGCTTAAAGGAGGTGCTAAAAATGTAGAGACTGTTAAGTGAAGACAAACCTAGAATGTGCTGTCCCCTAACGGAACCTATAAAGGGAACCAACATTACACTCCTGTCTCCGGGTTAGGTGGCTTATACAGGTATCTCCTTTTATCCTCCCACATAATATTCTGTGAGTATTATTTATACCCTTTTCATCAATGAGGAAACAAGGTTGTAAGTGATTTGAAGTTTGCGTGGGACCTAAAAGTTAGGGAATGCATTCTTACTTCCTAGATGTGCTCAAATGAAAACTGGATAACATCTCAAGTGATTGTAAACAGGATTTATGATGTTGCTGGGGAACTGGATTAAATGGCTTATAAATCTCTCCTATCCTCTGAGATTCATGAATCTGTATAAAACTGAGGTTTTCATACTCAAAAAAGGCATTTCTCCCTTCTCAATTTGGTGTATAATTAATAAGATTGTATTCAAATGTTAACGAGCTATAAAATGCCAAATCCAAGAACAATAGGCCACAAGTATCTCCATCTTCTAGAGATGAGCTATTAGTTACATCCCCAAAGAACTTGCTAAAAAGTGACTAGACCTGTCCTGTAACCTTCCTCCACTTCCAGCCTCCATCAGGGAGATACAAAAATTCAAGTGCAATTCATTAGAGGAAATCACAGGAGAGAATAATGCCTACTTCATTTCAAAGAGGGGATTACAAAAGACATGGGTTGTCTGCCAGACTGGTGAATCCTGTTCCTGTAGGAACTTATAAGTCCAACTCTGTGCAAACACAAGGTGAGTTTTGAATTGAACTGGAAATGTCTATACAGGAGTTGGGGGCCTTCGTGCACATTCATGAAGATATGTTACCCTCCTCTGGGCTGCAGAATTCTGAATCAGGCTGACTGATAGGACAATAGGACAAGGAGAAAGGGCAGCCATGGAACAGTCTCCACTACCTGTGTTTGGCATGGATCCAGTGGATATTTCAAAGGTTGGTCATCCAGAAGCTATTCAACAGGGCTGCCTGCCAGAGTGAGGAGACAAGGTAATAAGAGACTGGAGATAGTCTAGGTGAACAAATGGTGAGCTGGAGGGAAGATGGTCTAAATCAAGCTCACAGAGTCTGTCTACTTCTTCTTTTCACAACCCAGCAGACTAATGAAAAGCTACATTCAGATCTATGGTGCCCCATCCTCGCACCGTATCTTGACAAAAGATTCCATATATCATGGTAAAGGCTATTATTTTAACAACTAATGTTCTACAATGTCCTGGAAGGGGGGAAAGACCACCATGCTCAGTTAGCATAAGCCCAGACAGAGAAGTCTCATCAGCATGCTAAATTGTACATTCCTGGGTGGCAATTTAAATTGTACATCCCTGGGTGGAAACATACAACATATGAAGAAGTATATAAACCATCTGTGTGTGCCCCAGTGTAACCCTACCCAAAACATGCTATGGCACTGCTCCCCCTACCCACTCTGGTGAATAGACCCTTAAAAATGACTTTCTAGGGCCTCCCTGGTGGCACAGGGGTTAAAGACAGACACTACTGCCAGACACTACAACAGAAGTTCGATCCCCACCTGGCCAGAGAGTAACTCACAGGGCGCAGCAAACCTCTCCCATCTTGCCCGCTACTCCCCTCAGCAGTGTATTTCAGTAGATCTGTCTGTTCTGCTCCCAATTCTGTCTGTGGTGAGTCCTCTCACCTCCTGCACCTCTGGCCTACACCCCAGTTCTTGTATGCATAAATAAATAAATCTTTTAAAAAATGCATTTCCAACTTCCCTTAGGGAGCCAGTCTAGAAACTCCTTTCCAGGATTGTCTCCCTTGTGCATGAGTCTGAATATACCTTCTCTGGATGTCATCTGTCTGGCCTTCTTGTTAAATTCTTTTAGAAGGAGTGAGAACCTGCAAAAGAGACCCAAGGTCTATAACAGAAGGATGGACTTCAGGAGACAGTCACTGAAGGGGGAACTTGAGGTCCATAGGTAGAGCCTACAAAGAAGCCATAAATGATTCCAACAAAAGAAAATCAACACCTTGGTTTCTGCCACTGGTGACATTAGTTATCTGAGACTCTTACCTCTTTTCTTATAATCCCTCCTCATACCCATACCCCTTAGTGCCATAAGAGACCCAAAAACAACAGAATGAGAGAGGGAGGAGAAAAAGGAGTATAAGTATAGGCTAAACACAAATTTTCAACTGCCTGAGAGTGAGAGAGGGGCAAACTGTAGCTATGAAATTGAATCTTTTATTTAGTCCATTGCCTTGGAACACTGTAACATGTTCCCTCTCCAGATATCTTATGATATGAATAAGAAATGTCCTTCATATTTTTAATGACACTTTAATATTCTTTTCTTTCATTTGAACAAAGTGAGAGGAGGCAACAGTATATAAGATGGAGTTTAGGTTTCCTTGTTTTTGTTTTTGTTTGCTTAGAGTTATTTTATTTATTTATTTATGCATACAAGAGCTGGAGTGTAGGCCAGAGGTATGGGGGGCTGGGGGGTTGGGTGAGAGGATTCATCAAACAGAGAACAGAACAGGTGTATCTACTGAAATACACTGCTGAGGGCAAGACAGGAGAGGTCTACTGTGCCATGTGGGCCGCTCCCCGGCTGGCCGGGGGATCGAACTCATGCTGCAGTGGCTACAGTTAGCTCCATAGTGCTGACTTAACCCCTTACGCCACCAGGAAGGCTCTCCTTGTTTTTTTTTTTTTTTTTTTTTTTTTTTTTTTTTTTTTTTAAATATTTATTTATTTATTTATACAAGCACTGGGTACAGTCAGAAGCGCGGGAGGGTGAGAGAGTTCACCAGAGCCAGAGTGGGGAGCAGAGCAGGCAGAAGGACCGAAGTACACTGCTGAGGGGAGCAGCGGGCGGCAGGAGAGGTCTGCGCGCCATGTGGGACCCTCCGCCGGTGGCCAGGGAGCAGCCGGAGATCGAACCGGCGCTGCAGAGGCTGCGGGCAGCTTCGCAACCCAGCGCTCAACCGCTGCGCCACCGGGGAGGCCCTCCTTGTTTTTGTTTTTATGGATACATTCTACCTATGGTCAATAATACAACTGGTTTTCCACCAAAGGCAGAGATATCAAATTATAAAGAAAAGCAAAGTGGGTCAGTTTAAATAATACATACAGTATGTGGACATGGAAAAAAAAAAATCAGGATTCTATAAGATAAGGAAATCATTTTTAGGTCCAGAAAACCAAACGCTGGTTTGATTTCACTGAGTAGCCAGCCATCTACCTCCCTTTATACTTTTTATTCCAAAATCATATATTTTTTTCTTTTTCTTTTTCTTTTTTTCCCCCAGGGAAGAGCATGAACGCAGTCCCCCACTACCACAAATTATGCAGTCGAGGGTTCCCATATTTGGGGAAATCGCAGGGGTCAGCACATCCAGAGTGCAACGGATAAGCCTCGCCCTGGGAAAACCACCTTCGTGATCATGGTATTTCCCCTGCCAGGTAATTATCCAAAATCATATTTCTAATTGGAGGACCAGCAAGCTCTTTGGGTTCCTGCCCTAGATTTATAATCTTAAACTTGCAGTTACTTCTGGTAAAGGAACTGCATGCTTAGCAAAGAGTGTGGAGTACAGCCCAAATCTTCACTCTGAGACTGAGTTTGGTCATTAGTAAAATTATTTTTTTAGAAGAACTGGGGTTTAGGCCAGAGGTGCAGGGCTCGGCAGGGGGAAGAGAGGGATGAGAGGATTCACCAGAGACGGAGTGGGGAACAGAACAGGCAGATCGACTGAAATACACTGCTGAGGGGAGCAGTGGGCAAGACAGGAGAGGTCTGCTGCGCCACGTAGGTTAGCTTCCTGCCCAGGATGAAACTCAGGCCCTAGCGGTGACAGTGCTGAGACTAAAACCCTAGGCCACAAGGAAAATTATTTTTTAAATCTGCTTGACGGTTGTACAATGTGAATGTACTTAATAACATGGGAAACGTGTGCTCTGAAAGTTACCATGTGTTCTAAACCCT